TCACAGATGTTTTTTTATTTCTTTTGTAAATACACTTGGAGAAATTCACGAAATGAATAGAAAATATTTGAACGTTTTATATGGAATGTTGATGCTGAAAATACATTACAAAAACTTAGATAGTGTATAACTTTTGATTAGCTACTGATAAATTAGTTAAGACAATCAAAACACTTGATTATTTTTACTTTGAGATTCTCAGAGTATCTTCTAGCTCAAAGTTTAGAGTAGAAGTTGAGTGTAATTTTACCCCCTCCGATTCACTCCAAAATAGTGTTTCCTATCGAATATTTTCAAATTCGATGATATTTTTTATTTGTTCACATTTCCAAGTTTGATATTGGGATTGCTCTCAATATGAATAACAAAGCAATAAAAACCGAATAAATTTTTAAATCTGTTGAGACAGCAAAGACGTTACTCAATTTAAACCTAATTATTCTGTATTTCTACTTACCTGCTTTATTTGAAACCTTGATCAGAAAATTTCTTCCATTTCAACAACCATTTTGTATTGTAATATCTTTGTATAAGACTAAAAAGGTTGAAGTTAATAAATAAGTATACTTCCCTGTTTTTGTGGCGTAACTTATTTTTGCAAGTGGGGAAAATCTTTAAGCAATTTCTAAAATCTTATTGTTCTACCTACATTCGATTTGAATAGATTGTCTTTAAATCATGCAATTTAGATTGATTCGAACATACCTTTTTGCAGTATATTGTACATGATGTTTGTTTTTAATTTTCACAGGTTTGTGCTTTGTGTTATAAAACAAAGTTTGCCGAAGGATGTGGGCATATTTGTACTTTCTGTGAGATTCGCTTCTGTTCAAGGTGCGGTGGAAGGATAACAATCAAATCTAACAAGGTTTGTTGGATATGTTTCAATATTTGTGATCGATGTGTACTCTACTAATACTGATAGGAGTGGCCTAAAAATTGTATCTGAATAAAAGCTTCAATATTTATATACTGATCTGATCGTTTGGTTTGTGTGGCATTACAAATTTTTTTGGAAATCGGTATTATTTTGTAATTGCTTTTGTAATCGATATTTTACTGATTTTAACATAAAAATTATAGATTCTATTATATTTGGTTGGTATTCTCAAAATTTCAGGATGTTTTTCATAAATTCCCAAATTTTTGTTACAATTAATTATTTGTTCGTTTCTGATTACTACCTCTATCTCTAAATGACAATTCTCAAACATAAATTCATCCTAAAATCAGGAAATTATGATTACAATACCAATTGTTACTAATTTTGAATGTGATCAAATATTCAATTTGTTGCAATTTCATATATTTGGCGTCATCCCTTATTCTGAATGTTCAACTTTAATGGCAAACCATACACATATTGATTTGCCTAATTGTATTATGCGTTTGGGTGGATTCAAAAAGATCAAGATATGCCTTACTACTAATTACCCATAATACATCATTTTCTTATCTAATTTATTATGCTGGAAGCAGAATGAAGTTATGGTATGTTTATTATAATATCTAAATAATTTGTTGTTGTATTCTTCATTTACCCATAAAGAACCTTTCATGAAAGTTTTATTGGTTTGACCGTCCTAACTTGGGTCGCTTTTAAAGCATCTTCTTTTTAATTGCCGACGATATAAATATTTGATGAATATTTACAATGGGACTTTAGGTCAATTACTCAATATAGAGACTTGTAATGGTACAGCATCAGCGTGACAACATCCTGTTTTTCTCAGAATTTGAAAACACTAAACATTCATTGTAGATTACTCATCCTAATTTTTCTCAAGTTACAGATGAAAACAAAAATTAAGTATTTCATTTCCCTGTCCTTGGGCCTGTGCTTATTATTATTGAAGATGGGAGTTTTTGATTAACATTTAATTTCAATCAGGATTACAATGCATTTTAAGAATATATTTTTTCAATGTGTACTTTACGGCGCTTGTAATTTGTGTAATCAATAATTGTTCCACTTTTGATTGAGCGATTGTGACCTTTCTTTGGGTTACTTGTATAGAAAATATACATTTTTAGTTCATTAGGCCTACTACCGGTATATATAATGATCAAATATTAGTGTAACGAAAAAAGGTAGGCCTATTTAATGAAGACTTTGTGGTCATCTTTGTGCTACTTTACATCATTTCGAATTCTTCCAATTCTGATTTCCTGAGTTTTTCTTAAAAATATACCTTGAATTTAAACAATAAAATCATACATAAGGAGAAAATAGAAAAAATATCTGTAAATTTTATTCAGGAGTTGAATATATTCGTAAAATATACTGCAGGGCCAGTAAAACTCGATAACGAAAAAAAAAAAATTTCCTAATTCTCAAAATAGTAAGAAATGTCTCATTTTTGATCTTGTATTATACTTTATTATATTATGTTTTTTTCACTAACCGTTTATAAAACGACTAAATGTTGACAATTTTAAAGATTCATGGCTACAATCGTTGTCCATACAGCGTGCTGAAATTATTGTCTATAATCAGAACAAGGCTTAATATGGGCAGCCTGCAAGTCAGGTTTTTCAACATAGGTTTATCAGTTCACCTAGCACCCTAATAGTACATGATTGGGTACTCCCGAAGTATGTGAACCACGATGGCGGACACCAGAACGTAGTATGTGTACCATGTTAGGGTTAGGCCATAATTTTCTTCCAATTTTCCTATTTTAGTTCTATTACGAGTTCAGGGGCTAGCCAAGTGACTAACCATAGCCAGGGGCTAACCATAGTATTTGTACCTGGAATTATTGCCTCGCCCTAACCTGGTACACATGCTACGTTCCGGTGTCCGTCATCTTGGTTCACATACTTCGGGAGTACCTATAATTGTTATATATATATAAACTCCAACTTTGTTTTACATGTATATTTTTATATATAAATATCCTAAAGGCCCTATGGTATGATGTTGGCATACTGAAATAGTTTTAGTCTGATGAATAATGGATGAATAGTGTCTGAGGGGTGAGAACATTACTAGGAACCACAAATTTCCCTGTCACGATTTAAGACTGAAATAGTGAATTAAAATGCACTTTAATGCTACCACTATTCGTCATTTTCTGTCTTATCATCTATAGAATTATTCATTACATGGGTTTAATTTGTTTCAGACAACCATACATTATGACTAAAATATTGGTCTCATGGAAATTTTTCAATTCCTAATTGGTACGCAGATCTTCCATCGAGATAGAATCAGTTAGAAAAGAATATCAGTTGAAATTAAAAATATGTAGGCCTATCTGAAAAATAGAATTTTGTTATTTCAAATGTATATATGGCGGAATTTTAAAATTTATTTTCAATTATTTAAAGATTTATTGCAAATTAAATGATAGTTTTTTAAATTGTATGGAGACTTGATAGATTTCCGGTTTACGAGTGATATTTTTGCTCATAAAATATGACACATTTGATCAAGGTTTAGAAATGCAATCAACCCCGACTCCCGGCCCGAGTTAAAAAAAATATTTCTACTCTAGTTTTTGACTCCAATTTGATTGAAATATATACTCCCACTCTAGCTCTGAGAACTCTTGAGTAAATCAAATTTTGATCAATTTGCTATTTACAGCAATGTATAAAAGATATTTCATGAATTAGAGAGCAAAATTAGGTCCTAATGATAGCATATAGTATAGCTACACTGATATTTGATCATCCTAAATTCTCAAATTTTTTTTCAAAAAATCATTATTTTTTATTATTATTTTGCAGACAATGTGGGTGTGTAATCTTTGTCGAAAACAGAAAGAAATTTTGACAAAAACTGGTGCTTGGTATCACACTGCAGATAATAATAATAAACCTTTCACAACGCCTCAAATAAATCATCAAGAAGGTAATTTTTAGATAAAATGTTTGAAACAAATTAACAGGTTTTATACAATCTGTTTTTTTGAATATATCTTTTAGTCTGCAATTTTCATTTGAACTCCAAATATTTTGTATTCTAGAACTTTAAAAGCAGTTCATTATGGTTTTTCATATTTTACATCAGCATCACGATATATGTCGTATTTATTATGCAAAAATAACCATTTAACTATTGAAATTCTCATTTTGTGAATTACTTTGTCAAACATCGCCATTTTAAAATTTGTCTGGTCAAATAACATGAAGTAATATGGCTTCAATAACGCACAAGGATACGGTATAGTCATATTAATAACCCATCCCTATTTTCATGATAAATTTCAGGAATTTTAAACATTTGCTTTGTTTATTTATTATTAATAGTACTATTAATAAACTACCATTTGTGCTTTTACAATTTAGACACAAGCGAGAAAGAAAATAGACAGACGGAAGCAGCAAAAACTCCAATAACACCTACAGAAAGAAACGCCAATATGAAAAAGACTGCTGTTGAATCATTCACCAATAATGGAGAGAGGTGAAGCAAGCCCATATTATAATCAATACTGTAATTTATAAAAGTCCCCCTGCAATTTAGTAATTGCTTACGCCTTACAGGTATGTTTTATTTTACAGGCCTCGAAACCAGAGTTCAATCTCTCCATTAACACCATCCGCTAAAGGGGAAAATAGTAAAGAAAATATACCATCACCAGCTGGACAAGTGGGAAATACTGTTAACAAAAATGTTAATATTACACATAATTTACCTGTGGATGATACAAGAATCAAAAAAGTAGAAACCGTACCGAATTTTAACACTTACAACGACCATAAAAACACTTCATCGCCATCTCCGGGAATAACACAAAGTGTATCAATTGCAAACGGTTTTTTGAATTCCCACCCAGTTAAAATGGACGTACCACAAGCTCCAGTGCCCGCAAAACGAACTGACGTAAGACAGACGAATCACCAACAAAAAAGGACTTCAAAAACTTCACCGGAACATGAAAAGAAAGCCCTTTCTGAAAGGGAATTAAATATCTCTTCACCGGTGACTTCTAAATCTAGGTTATATACCAAAAACGGGCAAGTTTCACATGTCGGTCGTGACAGCAGAATTTCTCAGAGCAGTTCGAAGGCTTCCATTTCTCCTTCTGATTCTTATCATAGAATTTCCCAGACTTTGGAAAGGAATAGACTTTCCAGTTCAGGTATGATGAAGATTTGATTTTTATCACTGATAGGAAAAATTTTGATTAGGCCAATCATTGTTTCTCAATCAAGCTGATGGACTCGAGATTCAGTTAGTCTAGATGAGGGGTGGTCAGGTTTTTGCACCAGCGGCCAAAAATTTCACCCACCTAAACGGGCCATGTAAGTGTGGCGTAAAAAGTTACTCTTTATGAACAGAATTTTATTTACAGTGTTACAAAAGCAAAATTTGGACACAATAAGACTAATGCCAAAACTAAATTTAATCGGTATTTTCAACAAATTCCTTGAGCTATTTTTAGCTGAAACATCAAAATTTAGTTTTAGTTTGGTTGTTGCAATTGTCAACTAAATTAGACTTGCACAGACTACGATCATAATTTAATAAGCCTATTGCGCCATACAGATTTCAATAACAGCAGAATTAGTTAACAGCAGAAGTTTATGGCAGCATCAGGCAGGCCAGAATGAATCACCCAATGGGCCAGATTTGGCCCCTGGGCTGTATTTACCCATGTCAGGTCTAGATGTATGTTTCTGTTGTTTACGATGGTATATATATCACATATTCCACCAGCACGAACCCTTTATTTAGTATACAAAAAAATTCGGAACGGAAATCATTGACATCATTAATGATTCATAGGCTGACCACTAAGCTTTTCCCTAAAGTAAAATTGCTGTGTTGATGGCCTGCGCTTATTCATTCACAAAAATAAACTTTTTTTTCTTGAAAAGCCATTCACAAAATTGTGTCATACAGACTGTTTGCTTGTTTAGTTTTCTATATTAATGAGATACTGTTTTTATGTATATATATTTTTTTCTTTAAACGTTATATACTACCAAGCATAGCCGTTTCACAACAAAAATATCAGATTTGATTAAAATACCTCATCAAACTTTACCCAAGGTTAAACCGAGCTAAAATTTACAAAGTTATCAAAAATCAGTCACGTCCGACTAAGATTATAGAAAATAAGAAATCGGAAAAACAGCCTTCTATATTATACATTATTTAACTGCTATGCATGTATTTTTGATTCCCCTATTGTTTTATTTATAGACCTTTCTCAGAAAAGGGAACACGCAAAAATTCAAAGACGAATAGCCAATGAGCTCAAGCATAATTCCTATACGGTAAGCCTATATCATATAATATGTAATCATATCTTAATACAACCAAATGACAGTCACCTCAATTCCTTCATAATTAAATATACAACGGATACGGCTTAATAATCATGTTATAACCTCATTAAACCAGTAGGAGAAAAAAATCTGCCTCTGCTTGTGCTTATTATAAAATTGATTTCTTTGGATTTCAATGCTCGCGACGGTATCTCATTTTATAGTGGAGATCAGGTATTAATATTTCTAGCATTAGTTTTATTTAATATTGTTAAATTGTGAAAGGATGTTTTTATATCAGAATTTGTATTGTATAGGCAAATACGCAGTATTGGTAATAATGCTTATCAACTAAAATATTATTTGAAAAGATTTAGGGCTAAATTTTATTCAAATTAGTATTGGAAAATGGTTTGTATTCTAAAATTGAAATGCTAGGTCTAAGAATGTCCAAAATGAATTAAATTTCTGAATATGTTTGAAATTATGTACCAGTACCAGTAGTGAATTGTGTTTTTAAGTGGAATTCAGAATATTATTGTCTGAAAATTTTCTTTTCTGGCGTTTGACAACAAAATAGTAACAGATTTAGAGGTCTGAAGACTACAAAATAGTAAATGATCTAGACCTGTTTATCATATTTATGCTAATTTTTATGGATATACAATGATATGTGCGTGTTGTCTACCTAATCTACAATAAATTACGGTACTTGACGTCATATTTTAGTATTCGATTTTTTGAAATATTTGTTACGAATTTTATTAGGAATCGTAAAAATTATCTTCAAATAAAAAGTTTCATTTTTTTCTTTTTAACCTTTTATTCTGTATTCAAATTGCTTGCATTTGCTGTAAAATCAATTTTCTCACTCTGAGCAAGTCTTTTGGCAAGCACTCTTACACTTGTCACTCTTACATTAAGATGAAAAAATCACAATACGTGATCATTAATTAAATACCATCCCCTTGAAATGCAAATTAATTATTCAAAGACGCTTGTAATTAGAAATTATGGATAATTCTTTTCTTCTCTTCAACCAGAATATTCCAGATGATACTAAGCCTTCATATATATCTTCAAGAAGACAACAATTGAATGGATGTAGAAGTGAACCCAATTTACCAGAGTAAGTTCAATAGTTACCACAGATGTGTTCATGTTTTATAAAAGTGATTAGGACGTCAACTACAACATTTTTTCCTCAAATTTTGGGTAATATCGGAAAGTGAAAAGGGGTGGGCTTTTGGTCGAGTTGATATGTTAATTGAAAGGATAGAAGGACATGCTTTCAGCTTAAACATGACATCTATTGCCTATATTCTTTAATTATGGAATTTTTTCTGGTTGTACTGCTCAAGTTGGAAGATAATTATCGTATATCCTCGCATATAAGCAGCCCCCCCCCCCCCTAAAACGACTATGAAACAATGAATTTATAAATATTCACATATAAGACGACCCTACAAATTGTAACATGCCGTACACATCTATCACAGAAAACGGTTGCAGAAGAGAATTAATAAAAATGATAACCATTTTTGTTATGTTTTCTTTTTATTAATAATGGTGAGTATCTCAAAATCCTTCAAATTCATCCTCACTATTACTGTCTATCACTGAGTGCCATATAGGTTGACCCTTTAGTTTGGCAACTTAATTTTTTGTGTTGTTAACTTGGTCTTTCTTCGAGGATATACGGTAACTATTCATCATATGGCATTTTCTCCATTATTAAATTCTGTTCAATGTTCTAGTGCAATGAGTGGTACAGTAGAAACTCAATCTACGAAATTAATTCATTCCGAAAGCCCCTTCGTAAATAGAAAATTACGTAGGTGGTGACGCTTTTTACCTGTAAATACCCTAATCCGTTCTAAGCTCCCACAAAACACGGACATAATATTTGTGTAAATTATAATAATGGTTAGAATTAGAATTAGATTACTGCATAATATAAGGAAAAGTATTTATGGAAAGGAGAAAGATCAGAGAAATAATGAATAAAAACCACGAATGGTATGTTTGTTTACCCATAGTGTTGGCCGACTAGGCTAGGCTAAGCGAAGACCATTAATAGTGGGAGAGGACGTTAAAAGTTGACAGCTGAGAGAGAACGTAATGTACGAAAATGAGCACATGCGCATGCAGTTCAAAATTAGAATTTACTCATTCTTATTTCGCTTTTCTGTTTTTTATTTTTTTGCTCTTCTGTTTTTTATTTTTTTGTTTTATTTATTTTCTTTTGTTTTAAATGTTACACGTATTAACATCTTCTCACTGAATTTCGCTAGCAACTGAAAATGAGTGAGACACATTGTACAGACATGTGGGAAGCAAATGGGCCAATGGGATGGCAGATAGTTGCTAGGACAGCTACCAGGAGCTTGATTTTTTATTGCTCACATAATCATTCGTTGATTCAGAAAAACGCAAATGTTATTACGCGATCATCGTCATAATCAAATGAGTGAACCTGATTCCCAAATTTCCATCCGCCAATGATGGAGCATTGAGACCGGAAATCATGTTTTATTTTTTGAGTCGGCGCTGATTTTAATATTTTATGTCGGATGTTATGATATTATTTTTAATTATAAATAAATACAGTCAACTGAACGATATATTTTGAATCAAAATGTGGACAGCGCCGCTTGGATATGTGTGCCATATTCTATATTCCTATAAACATGAAAAACAATATTCAAAAGTCGCAATGTTCAAATCGGACATCCCTGCTTCAAGCACTGCATTAAATTAACCTAAAAGAAACAAATATCACTGCACAAGTTTTTGGCTTAGAAAATCTTACATTAGTCGAAGCATAATTTTATGATAAGAATTTTCTTTTTGTATCCAGAGCTTTTCGTAGGTAGAGTTTTCACTGTACTAAGAATCATTAAACTTACTAGAAAGAGTTCTAAAATAAAACTTACATTCATTTTTGCATTTTTATGTTGTAGGTGTTATAGTGTTCCAGATAAAACCAGAGAACCAGGAGTTCATAGAAAGCGATTGTACCGCCTACAGCCCTCAAGAAAAGGTAATTTGTTTTACAGTCAAACAACTTTTAGAGAAATGTGCATTTGGTTTTTTGCTTGGATGTTTTTATCAATTCTTTTCTAGAGCTGATTCATATTAGGAATCCTATAAATTGATATTCATTGATTGGTATGGGCCAGTGGTTCTCATACTTTTTAGGCCGCATCCCCTTTTTATAATTTGTCAAGTCTCGTGCCCCACCTCAAAAATATCTAGTTAACAATAATCTACAAATAACAGATAGTAAGGCGAAAGTATGTTTTATTCTAAAAACATGTTGAAAAAAAATGGACGGAATCGCAATCTTGCAATCTAAAATAAAGTGGGCAAAATCGAATCTAACAAATATTTTTATTTTAATTAGCGTCGCGCCCCCCTCAAATTTATCTACGCCTCTTGTGGAGCGCGCCCCACCATTTGAAAACCACTGCTCTAAATCAGGGGTCACCAAACTACGGCCCGCGGGCCGGATCCGGCCCGCGTCGTCATTTTATCCGGCCCGCAATAACATGCAAAAATGGCCAAATATTTTCCCAAGAAATATTTCTCGAGCATCGTCTTCCTTGTTTATTTCGTAACATTGGCCAATCAGCAAGATGCAAAAAAGACGTAATAATGGTCCTTTTCGCATTTTCAATGCTATTCGTTAGTTTCTGGTTGTGTTTGGGAAATCTAAGTATGAATCAAATAAGTCAAACATCATTTGCCTCTTTAGGAGTTGTAGTTTTAATAGTAGTAATGAAAAATTAGTCTAAGAAATAGCTGTGACAAAATAGGCTAAAATTCTCTACAGGGAGGCAACGTTTTCTGCGAAAGATGCACTCGTGGCGCGTGCATTCGACGAAACTGTTTACGTCTTTGTGCTAAAATGAACGTCGAATGTGCATTTTAGTGCATGTGCATGTTAGTTTGACAGTGGTTCATTGGTACGTATCAAGTTAGGAAAGAAATACACACGTCCACATAAATTTTATTGGTGACCATAGCCAATATCATTAATTTGCACCACGTATAACTTGAGCGAAATTTTAAAAGCTCCGGATGTTGGGAAATTTTTGCGCTAATGAATAAAAATAAAATACCAGATTATAGTTGTTTATTTTATTTAAATTATGTCGAAATTCCATGGAATTCCACGCTACAGCAGGCAGTCCGTAGTCGTGCAACGTTTTGATAACAGCTAAACTCAGGATTGTCGTCTATATATAGAAATCTTGTATATTTGTTTTCCTAGGATGTTCTCGATCTATATTCTGCGATATATATAGAATTTAATATTCTAGTCTTCAGAAATGTAGAATATATATTGTTGAATAAATTGAATGGATTTCCCAACTTTTGTGAATTTAATGTATTGCATTGACAAAAATATTTGTCCGGCCCGTTTCAACCCAGGTTGAGTCATGTCCGGCCCGCGGTCAAAAAAGTTTGGTGACCCCTGCTCTAAATTGATATTCATAGATTGATATAGGTGTTGGAGATTTGGGGAAATTTCATTATTTTCATAGCTAAAGATTTCTTATTTGAGGTGACAATATTTACAAGATTTATTGCTTCATAATGTGCTTTTAAAAAATCAACTCATTTCAATTATCTTCAATTTTAACTTTAGTTTTTCCTAATGAAATCCTTGGTGTGTCCCTAGTTGCTACATATGATAAAATTTTTAAAGAATATTACGATTATTTTTTTCATTCTTAGGACCTCCAGTCCGAGAATTTTCAATAAGCAGTTCGGAAGATGACATTAGATCTGGAACCGAATATTCAAGTATTGACGACGCTGATAAAGAAACCAGCAGTGATTACGGTTCGTTGTTTATTACTGTAGTACTAAATAATATTTATTTTATTTAAAAGAAAAAGATTAACGATTCCCTCCAAATTCATAAACGTAGTGAGAAAATGATTTTGTTGATACTAACGATTAAAGTGTTATACTTACCGTAACTGTGTTAGTATCGCAACCGTCACTTCAAAAATATGATAAATCGAAAACTATGTAATCAATAAATTATTCCCTTTTTCATGCTTTGCTAAATAAAAAAATTGCTCCGCAATATTTATACTTGATATTACAGACAAATTCAAGTCGTTTTTCTTGTCTTTTTCAGAGTTTACCCATTTGCAGCATCCTTCTACAATGAACCAAATGTTACCTCACGCTTGCTACCATAGACCATGCTATCACCCGTTAGAGAATTACGCCATGGAGAATTTTACGAAATCATCGACCAGTTTGTATTCGTGCCGACGCAGTTCAGGAAACACAAGAGATTCGGGAGTCGAAAGCAGTTCGGTTTTATGTCATGATCTTTCTCAAGAGCAGGTAAGGGGTTGTTATATTGGTACTTTCGTAGTGTGTGTATCAGGTTAGGGTTAGGCCATAATTTTATTCTGATTTTCCTTATTTTAATTATATTTTGAGTTCGGGGACTGTCCGTGTCAGCCAAGTTAATATACCCCTTGCCTAGGTTTCAGTTCCTTTACATAAATCGATGTAAAGTAGGCGAACAAAATATGTTTTTTCCATATTGGTACACATTGGACCCAAGTCATAATACCTTTGTGCAAGAGTCTTAGATTACTTTGGGTAGTATCATACACAAATAGAAGTTCAAGTGGTAAATAATTTTTTTTTTTAATTTTGTAGAAATAATTAAATAATTTATTGATTCGGTTATTTTGGTTACCCTGTATGTGTTATGTATGTGATTCAAGTAAATATGTAAAAAATTGATCACAAGCAGCAACTGTTACATAGTAATAGTAATGATAGTTAGATAGTAGCTACTGTAGTATGGACGTACTTCAGTATTGCGTATTCAATTCATCACGCTCTTAAGTGAGGTGGAGGGCATGGGATTTGAACCCAAGATTTTAACCTGCGAAGCCATCATAGTTAAATTTATCTCTTAAACCACTAGGCCAAACCAATTATATAACATATATTTTGTTAAATAATTTGAATAAAAAAACAGCTTCTTTATTAGTTTATTAAATTAAAGTTTTGTGTCAAAGTCGCGTACGAATGAGAAAAAGTTTTCCATTGTTGTTGGTGCCAAAAATATATATTTTTTTTAAATAATACTGTAAGATGTAAGATACTTTTTGAATTGAATATTTTGAAATTAAATGGCATTCTTAATTTTAAAACATTTTATTTGACTAAAAATTGGATTGATTGACTGAAAATTGTAATTCCGTGGTCAAATTTTTAATCTATTGACTTAGATTGATCGGAAATTAAATTGTCTCCGAATAGTAATGGGATTAACCTTATTATATGACTCTGAAATTTAACTAACATAGTATATAGGGACTAGGAGAAAATAATTTTGTTTTCCCTGAATGAAATGTAATATTTACAGATTGTGAATTTTCATGCCTGGCCCAAGTGTGTTTATTAGTTTTATCTGTGGCTCATGCGTGGACAAGTATATTATACAAATTATATTATTTTGTTGAAAAACATTTTGTTTCATCCATTGTTATTTGATCAGTTACCAGTTCCATGGCAACCTTCATCAGACGGACGATTTCTCATTGGTCATCTTCTCTTGTACAAGAATGTGTCATCTGCAAGTAACATGGCACGACGTGCTGGAGCCTTATTAGGATTAAAGGTATGTTGATAACTTAATTAATAATAAAGATAGAAAGGTTATGTTACTCAATAGATAGGTTAGGTTAAAAAAAAGCTAAAATATTATCAAGTAAAAAAAACTTGAGTGTTATATTGGGAGTAATCATTGAGGTTTTGAGAGCAATTATAAAAGTTAAGTTGAGTAAATTAGCTTCATAGGTAGCGGCATCGATGTCTGAGTTTTTTTATTAATTCTGTTTTGCTGTTATCGTAATTTGAATTGAGATAAAAAAAATCATGGGTGTATATTTAATGAAAAATCAAATTTGCCAAATTTTTCAAAAATGCTAATACAAAATTTACTGTTTTCTGATAGCAATAACTTTGATTTTGTATAGTTTCAATAAAAAAATGTTAGATTCTAAATACTAATCATTTATATGTAACTAAACTTTTGAAGATTTTAATTTTTGTCAAAGCTAGTTATTATTTTCAATTAATGCGGTATTGATATTTGAAAATAAATGGAACTATTTGCCACAAAAGTGAGACAAAAACTGAACTTAGTTTGCAAAATTGTATATAGTTCATCACACTAAACTAACAGATTTTACGAAAGAAACATGATTTCTAAATTTGAATTTATTGAATACACTTTTCTTTTTTCAATTAGTTTTTATTCCAGATTTCATTACGATTTCAATTTTTTCCAAGTCTCCAATCCCAATTGTTCTGTCTCCTAGGTTGTTGGAGGAAAGACAACACCTTCAGGTAGACTAGGAGCATTTGTTACAAAAGTCAAAAAAGGAAGTTTAGCTGATACCATCGGCCATCTTAAACCAGGAGATGAAATAATATCGTGGAATAAATTTTGTCTACAAGATGCAACTTTTGATGAAGTTTATGAGATTATTTTGGAATCAAAAGCAGATTCAATGGTAAGTAAATTCATATCTTCAAAAAGGCCTTTCTCGTATTGGTTAAAGTGTTTTCTCGACTAGTCTCATTACTGGATCATTTTTTTCAGTTTTAATTTGTCTCAATCATAGTTCAAGTACTTCGTCCAAAACAGTTTTACATATATTGTGGCATATTTGCTCACAGGTCGCATATTTTTATTCATGAAAAGTTCCCTTCCTTTCTTCACAAAATAGATTATGCCATTTTTTAATGTTGATATCAAATCGTTATGATGTAAAACTTCATTCATAAAAAAAGTCATCAACTAATGAATGATTTAAAAAAAAAATAATCCTATTTTTGAGACATTTCTAGTTCTTTATATACCTTACAAAGTGTCTTCGGTGATTATTTTTATCTTTTTTATTTAATTATCAATACAATTTCTCTCCGAAGAAGACACATTGATTTCATTTTCAATCATTTTTTTTCAAGGTGGAATTAGTTGTGTCTCGACCTATTCGCGACGTTCCAAGAATCCCTGAAACGAGACTTCACCAAACTGCGGAATCAAGCAGTTGTTCTCTTGATTCTGAAAGAAGAGATTTTGAGTCATACACCATTAAACCATTACATGGTAGAATTCAGGTTAGAATTCAGGTTCAACTGATTGTTTTTATTAATTTTATCATTTTTTTTAAATGTTGTAGATCTGGTCTGGAATTGGCCATAGATGGTACAAATAACAGAAGTGTGATTCTCTGTAGAAACATTAATTTTTGATACAGACTTATTGATTTTCTGTTAAAGATTTGTTTTTGTTCTCCTACATTCAAATTTTTTAAGCTGGATTCCATTTATTCATGTGAAAATCTTAAATCTATTCAGTATATAATTTATTCTATTCTAAATTTAAAATTGATTACACACTTTTTGCTCTGAACAAGGCTCTTTATAAGCAGTCACTGATATGTATTAGAGTTATTTCTGTTCAGTATGACTTATCCAGTTCATTAAACTCGGGGTGGTGTGTTGGCTGTTGGGCGTGGGATTCAAACCCCATTAACCCATTATGAACCCATTTAACGACTAAGCCATTACACATTATGAACACTCAAACTAAATTATGTTATTATATTGGTGAAAATAATAATTATATCAGTTGATACGATTGTGCATAAGACATAGATAGTTGTATGTCAATTAGACATGTTTTATCTGCGAACCATGCTCGTAAGGAATAATATAATCCTGAAGAAAAAATACATAGACATTGTAAACAAGTCATATTTGCTGATGACTCTTTTCTTGATATTAATTGGTTCTTTATTATTATTTTTATTTATAATTAATTAATAATTACTTTTAATTTCTAATCATATTTAGTTACACTTATTCATTTTTAGATAAAAATATGGTATGATGAAAAAAGTCAACAATTGTATGTGACTGCCATTCGTGCTGTAGATTTGTTAGCAAGAGAAGGTGGTCTTCCCAGAAATCCTTACTTGAAAATGTACCTTTTGCCTGGTAAGTTACCAGCTGTTCTACCTAAATTTTTTTTTTCAACATTGTTCAGTAGACTCACTCGATTGTGCATGGTTTCACGCATTTCCTGTTTTTTTTTCTGTTTTCAATTTTGGTGTAGTTTGCTAAATTTTATTTTTTGACTACCAATAATACATCTCTTTTTTAAATATTACCAGTGCATTTTTAATAATTTTGCTCTCTCTATGAAACTCTTGAAGAGGTTAAGGTTAATATGCACTTACTCGGAAGTAAAGAACACTCATCTCTGAGTAAAATTATGGTCGACCATTGAAAATCCAAAAGTTACTGAAACGATACACAATTATAGTGAATAATAGTTGTCAGTCAGTAATATATAAGTTCTTAAATAGCTTAAACTTTTTTCAAATTTTAATTTTGTCTTTTGATTTACTTTGTTTTTAAATTTCTCGTCACTCACCCCTGTGAATACATTTCCCCATAACAATTTTATTTAGTCTGATTTGGTAATTTGTTGTTTTACTTTTATCAATTTGAAGTTTTGTTTCTTTTTATTGTTTCCTTTTTATACTATTGTAATTTTATTGATCAGCTTGTCCAAAACAATCTAAATATTTATAGTATTGATTTAAAAATACAAATTAATTAAGATTTTCCTTTTTAACATATCCAAATAATTCAACAGGAAAACAAATATGTTGAATAAAAAATAATCAAAATGTAAGAACTATATTAAAAAAACAGTTATTAAACTAGCTTTATTTTGAGACAGACTGTGTTGTTTTTCAATCAATATCATTCAAAAAAATGTCTTCTGTCACTTCAGCATTTATATCATTTGCCTATTTACCTCCTTTATTTAAAAAGCAATTTTCAATTTTGTACAATTTTAAAATAATATACCGCATGCGTCACCATCCCCTGGGAATGGGGTCTTAAAATAGGACGAAATAGATATCTATTTTTTTATATACTAATGTATACCCACATTTTATAGGTATTTTAAGTTCATCTATAAAATGGCTTGCTTCTGGATACAGACTTTAATATAATGTGCTTTTTGAAGCATTGATTTTGTACTGATGATTCAAGTTTTGCTCTATGCTTTGCTCTGATTTATACATGGTGACTCCAAAAAACAGAATCCATAAATTTTTTAATTAATTTAACGAAAATGAAGAAAATTTATTTGACACTTGAAATTCTGATTGTGTAGATTGTACACAAATGTTTCAATATTCTAGGACACTTAATACAGAAGTTATGTTTTCTCTAGAATATGTTCTAATGACCTGAATTTTTTTTTTTTGGCCACCATGTACCTTAGTCACCCCGATACAAGATTTAGGACCGGGATTTTCATGATTCAGCATATATAAACCATATAGTTTTAGAAATATTAATATTGGCGAGGTCAATAGCGTCGGGTTTGAACCTCAGATCTTTAACATATTAGGTCGTTATAGTCCAGCGAGCAGAACTCTTGCCACCTTGTTATAATTTCCATCAACCAGTCCAATGAATATCAAAATGACATCCAGTCCGTTGATTTCAATTTTTCATTTAAACTTTAATGCTTTTCACTCATTTCTGCGCACTTTCAAAGAGTTCATTTCATGTTTTCGAAACTCCCTTTTAATTTTGGCATCTTCCCATGGATGTCATTATTGATTGGTGAAGTAATTACCCTGATTTTTTTTGCGACGCAGTAATATTGATAAAGATCTTTGTTTTTCATCCAAGAAAATGGTTTCCTCGTTTTAGGCTGTTTTTGTAAACTTGGTTTTTAATGATGAAAACTTCCGGTTATTAATTGGCTGGCCTGTTAGGTATTTCATTAAAACATGTTTTTTTGAATTTTGTGTTGTTGGTAGGTTTTCTAAATTGTATCAGTGCGCAAATTATTTCCAAACAACACTAGCTGAGGAAATTTGTTTCGGGTCATATATTTCAACATGTTCGGTGAATATACGATGCACGCTTGTTAAACTTTTGAACCTCTGTCAAAGGTCAACCATTTGAAATGAAACCACAGGGAACATTGTTTTTTTCTGTGTGTATTGACGCACAGATAACCAAACATCAGAATTTTTTATTAAAATCAATAATATGAACTGCGATATACGGGAGGATTGTCTTTTTCTGCGAGTCCTGTTATTAGGAATTCTCAATTTGTCCACAGAGAGAGGGAAGTCGATAAGACAGCTTAATCATATGACGTACCACGGCCTCTCATTCAGTTACCAGTTATGGGATATTTTCGCCATTTATTTTTATTTTTGGGGACTTGATGGTAGAGGGAGCTGTAACCGGCCAGCAGTTATGTCTGTTCAAACTGGCAAAAATGTCTGTTATCTTGTCTATCTTGTAAAAATGTCTGTAGATCCATTCTATATCAAAACCACATTTTTACTTTATTTACCATATAAGCTCATATTATATGATAAATGTCTGCTTTAATCAAATTGCTTTCTAAAATAAAACCAGTGTTATGCATGCATATGTTTATGATAAATATATATTTCCTCGAAATGCAAAGTTTCCAAAATAAAGTTTTCTGCTATCAGGGGAACCTGTACGTTACTCTTTTAAGAGAGACGACCTGATAATGTTGAAACAGTTTTTGTTATTAACAACTTAATTGTTAACTCCTTTTTTCATTGCTTCTCTGTATAAGGTATTCATTTTGATATTGTTCTGAATGTTTTAGATGTCTTGAAATTGTGACGTCTGAATCTGTCAAAAATCTATATAATGCTTGTTTCCATTGGTATTATACATGATTATATATTGATTGACTGTGAGTTTGGCTTGAAATGCTTAGATTCGACATGGGCAAACTGTTGGGTAATTCAATCTGGACCGCCCGATGCTGTTACAACCAGAGTACAACCAAATTTTGATGTCTCAGCTAAAAAATAGCTCAAGGAATTTGTTTAAATTGCGATTAACTTTAGTTTTAGCAGGAGGCTTAGAAATTTAGTTTTTGCATTTTTGCTTTTGTAACACTGTAAATATTGTTAATAAAATTTTACCTTTATGTCACACTTACATGGCTCGCCAGTCTAGGTGGGCAAAATTTTTGGCCCCTGGTTCAAAAATCTTGCCCACCTCTGTTCTAGATTATACTTCTCATGAAGCCTTTTTTTTTCTGAATTTTCAGATCGTAGCAACCTTTTTAAAAGGAAAACGAAAACAGCAAAGAAAACGTTAGCTCCAGAATGGATGCAAACCTTTGTTTACGGCGAAGTTAGACGAGATGATCTTGGTGCAATGGCGTTGGAATTGACGCTATGGGACTATGACAGATCCTTGGAAGCTAATAATAAATTCATGGGAGAGGTATGGCTTTTGTTTTTATTTTTTAGCTGTAATATATTCAGTTTAGCTAGTAAAACTCGTCTCCGATAATAATGGGCATTCGAAAATTCATTTTCTGTTGCTTGATTTGGTACTTGCGTAGTGTGTACACCAGGTTAGGCGATAATTTTATTCCGATTTTCCTTAATTTATTTCCATTACGAGTCCGGGGACTGTCTGTGTTAGCCAAGTGAATATACCCCTTACCCATAGGTTTCAGTCTCTTTACACAACTTGATGTGAAGTAGGCAAACAAAAGTTGTTAGCTGGGTGTTTTTTTTTTTCATATTTTGCAGTATTTACCCAAAATTAGCAAATATATTCATTTAATATGACAAATGTCTTGTTTATTGGCAACTAACTTTTTAATGTCTATAGTGAAGAAGTAGATAATGTACAACAGATACCAGATTCAACGTCAAGTCATATTCATGCTTTAATTTTTTTATTATTTTTTGTTCACTTGGGATTTATTTACCGCTAAAAACATAAATTTTCCCTAAGGTTCTAAATGCTGAGTTAGAGTATTGTATTGTCACACCTGATTTCAAACAATCAATTAAGTTTTAGTATTTTAACTTTATAGAGAATTCTAGACTTGACACAGCTGCTTATCTACTTTTTATAACTTCAACATCGTATTTTATTTCAGGTTATTATTGATCTTGGACTAGTTTGTCTCAATGATGAACCACATTGGTTTTATTTGATGCCTCTTGGATGTGGAATGAATCAAGATTATGCTTCTGAAAGTTACCCACTCATGCCTACTAGTTCCGTGTCTTCTGATGTCAATTTTACGGAAGCAAGCAACGACACCCTTTCAAAATCAACGTCTTATATTGGGTGGGTAACTAAGTTTATTACTTTCAATGGTTTGTCAATGACATGTTATTTTATAGGCAAGATTTGTAATGGCATGAAATTTTTTTTTTCCCTTTTGCTATGAGCAGTGCTCTGGTTACGCAGGGAATAAAATATAATTAGCTTCTCTATTTCTTATAATAAGTCCAGTACTTTTTCTATATCGGCACACAATTTTATTCATAAGTCAGTAAAGATAGCATTCCATGACTAAGGCATTGGTTGATGTCATTACTCTTTAGTGCTCTGCATATGGGAGAATCACTGTTGGACCATTAAAAATACCTTAAATACCAGCAAAATAATGTACAATACCAAATTTATATTATGTGCTTGAATTGACATAACTCGACAACTGCTCGCTCAGAGCCTCGTTTGAAGGGAAGATATGAAAACACCTTATAAGGTTATGGATCAGAAAAATATTTGAGACAAAACAAGAATTCTATAGGATATTGACATTTAAAATCTTCGTTTGAAAAGTTCATTCATATAATTCATATAAGTTATTCGTAAATATCATAAATTCTGATTTTAATTCCCTGACAACCGTTCGATGGCAAATCATGATAATACGTCTGCATTATGTATGTTGCATGATGCAATATAAGCTGAAATCAATATTTATCGGTGTTTCTCGTGAATATTTTTTATCTACCGAACTTGAGAAAAATAATCAATACTTTTGTCTGGGAATACTTTGGATTCATAGAAAATGCAGGATCGACATTAATTGTAATTGATTAGAACTAATTAATATTTAATTGAAAATAATTACAAATTCTATTGTTCAATTACATGTGGCCTTTCTTGCAGTGCCACTGACAAAATCACTGTAAAAAGTTAGTGGAAGCCTTGCATAGAGATAGTATCCATGTCCTCACCACGCAACCATGCAAGAATGTTCTAATAATAAGCATCTCGTTCGCACAGAAGATTACAGACAATCAAAGTGTCGATTCTATCTCATCGTCATAACAACATGTGACAAAGCGCAGAAAATTTTTTGAAGATTTTCTTTCAAAACGAGAAGTGGTCATCCTTCATTATTCTAAAATTAGCTAAAAAAGTGTCGGAATACTTTTAATAGTTTTAGAGAACCATGGTTACTTACTTGCAATGTGAACACTTAGTGTCTTGCATCCTTAAATATTTAAATAGGATCTGTCTGAATATATAACAGTGTTATTTATAAAAAAAAACTGTAAGTTATGGCCTATCAAGTAATCTGATGAAAAATTAACTATTGCTGAAGTATTTTCATTTCCAATGTTTCTAATTCAGTACAACACAGTCATCATTAGCAAGGACACAAAAATCTCCGAAAGCAATGCACAAACGAATGTTGCCACATCTTCCTGTTACCACATCACAGAATACAATAGGTGAGTTGGTTCAGTCGAATAACATTTTCATTTTTGGACACGGTGGACCTATGATTGATCTACCGGTAATCTCACAGGTGTATAATTATGTGCTGGTGCTCCACGTCGTTTGGTGTATGGTTGTTCACATAACTGCGGGCTGTTTACAGCTCAAATCCAATCATTTGAAACAAAAATTATTCTCAAACTTGACATGGACTGGTAACCAGACAAGAGGCTGTGGTTTGATTAAGCTCGCTCATCAACTTTCCTCTCTCCAGATCAATATAAAAAAATAAAATAAAAAATCTATCTCATACTTTCTCACACCTATCTATCTATATATCACTTATGAAACAAATTATATTACATTCAGCATATGATGAAACCAAGTCAGTAGGTAGAAGTACGCCAGCAACAACAGTAAAAGAAAGTAGAAGACAACCTCAACAACCACAACAACAAAGAGAAGATATTTCAGATATTGGAGATGGATCTGTATCTAGTAAACCATCCATGAATTTTGAAGCAATGTATGTTTCAAATTTATTCATTTCTATATGGTGTTTCAAAATAAGAATTACGCAATTCTTTCTCTGATCTGTAAGAGCAAGAGCCACAGCACAGCATCTGTAAGAGCCACAGCACAGTTTATGTGTTTTTCCCCGAAAAATTAGGCATGGTACCTTATTAGCTCTCAAACAAGATGGTCATTTAAATGGAATTGGTACTATATCCATATCTACCTATTCATAACTTATCAATTTAAAATCGATTTTAAATTTTTGTTTCAGGTCTGTTGATCACTCACAAACGCTACAAACATTTGTCGGTGGTGTTGGACCTGGACAAATTGTCGGACGACAAGCTCTCGGCATGAGCTCCGTTGGAGAGCTTGAGGTATCAAGAATATATTCTTCAATATTTTCGTCTTTTTAATCCCAATTGTGGTTCGGTGTTCTCAATTTAAATGTTGGTTTAGAAAATACAATGCACACATAACACATTTTTATATTAAATTCGCCCGATTTGCCAAAATTTTACTTCTGTTTTTTACAATTTTCCCAAAACGATATAACTAACTTTTTTGGTTCTATTAGCAATCTAAATATATGGCTTTCGTTCAAAGAATTCCAATAGATTGTTCAATGCACTATCTAAAATTCCCCTCATAACATACACATCCTCAAATTTGAGTAATTTTTTTAAATTTTGGGTTGGTGTTTCTCAACAAATAAATAAAACGAGAATATCGTTCAGAGACTGAAGACTTATCGATTGAAAGTTAGGGGATCCCCCAGAACAGCGCTCTTACTTCATAGTGACACCTTGTGTCCCATCACTAATTAATTAATAACTCGCTAATTATACGACATAATTCATCCAAAATCAATAGGCTTCTGGTCCGACATATGATGAATGCACATGCAAAATCTGGAGCAGATTCAATCTCACTTTCGTGAGATATCGCCTGCATCTAACAGACAAACAGACAAATACCTATCAACATACTTACTGATTAAAATCGATAAGTAATTAGAAAGTTACTTTCAAATGCTTGGGTGATATTAAACCAAGATAGCAAGAGAACATTTAGGTCTCTATCTTTGCCTATGTACCTATCCGCTTAATTATGTTGTCCTGTATTAATGATGCAAATTCATTTTCAGCTTGGATTTTATCGTCACCAAAGTCAACTCGTTGTTCAAGTAAAGCGTGCACGAAATCTCTCTGGTAAATCAGGGTCAAGAACCATGCCAGGTAAGTTACAATGAAGAGAAAAATTATTCAATACTATATCATGTTTGGCAATTGCTATTAAGTGCATCAAGTCTTGTTCATATCTATATAAATATATATCTACAATAATTTTTTTTTCAATTTCAGCCTTTTATGTTAAAGTTTACATGATGTCAGGAGTACAATGTATTACCAAAAAGAAAACGAAATTGTCAACGCGAACACTTTCTCCCAACTTCAACGAAAGTTTAGTTTTTGATCCTAATCACGTCGGAAATGCTTTACAGGTTAGTCAATAAATTTCTTGTGATTATATATTTGTGTGTTGCGATGTCTGTCTGTCGGATTGTCTTTGCGTCTGACAAGACAATGTCTCAAACATTTGATTGAAATAGACAATTTTATTTATGTTACCAGGTTATCATATGGGGTGACTACGGAAGGATGGACAACAAATCTTTCACTGGTTCGGCTCAGATCGCACTGGAAAATTTAGACTTAGCTACCAGAGTAATTGGGTGGTATAAACTTTTTCCTTCTTCTTCAATAATAGATGCTTCATCTTACGGTCCTAGACAAGACTCATATTCTTCTTTTGGCAGTTCATCACAAATTTTAACTTGAACTCTTGAGATTTTTTTTTCGTCGAAAAATGTTATTGTTACGCTATCCAGGGGATCTAGTGTAGGGGGGTCCAAGGTTGTTGACGTCCGGGCCACAATATTAATTGAGTGTTGTTGGCCCGCGGGCCTGGGTTTGTACCACCCTGATCTAGCATGTTCTTACATGGATGAAAATAAAAAAATTAGTTATAGTGGCAAGATTCCAATATGGTTGCAATATTCCAACGTTATCGACATATTTTGTGTCTTTGTGTCACTACGACATGAAAAAAGTAACTGAATATCTTGTTTCCAATAGTGGTCACATATTCGTTATTGGTTCAACATCCACAACTGCATTTGGATATACAAGATAAGTCTTGTATTAAATTTTTGAGAATTGACTTAATGAAATGAGAAAATTGTAACTCTGACTGACTTTATGAACATTTACGATTCATTTGCATATGGACTTGCAGCCAATGGATTTTGATAATTAAGTATTTTTTAGTTGTTTATCAATTTTAGGATTTGCGTTAATAAATATACACATTTCCATTGATTGCTCATAAGCACAAATCTGAATAAAAATTCCGATTCTCAACATACACATTTCCAATTGCTTCAAAATGTTTAATTTTCTACAAATTCTATTTTAAGACTTCATTTTTATAAACTTATTGCATTGTAATGATATAAATACACTTCAAATGGCAATCCACAATATTCACTTGACATTCCAAGATGAAATATATGAATTGAAATTTTCGTTAAAATTTTTTCCTTCTGTACTACTATGGTTTTCTCTGTGATATGTTCTCTTCTATTTTCTGCTTATATTGGCATTTTTTTAAATTATGGTACTATAAACTGAAGTAATCTTCGCTGTCAGTACACGTTTAGGTGCATTCAAGTTTCGTGTTGCAATATATTTTTTTTTAATTTTAGCCATACTCAGCGCTGCTTTTTTATATTACACTTATCTCTGTGCAGTATGTTTATATTTGGGCTCCAAATTTGCACATTTTTCTTCAAATTCAGCCTAAAATTTAATTGCATCGTCTTCAATCATGTTTAAATGAAATTTATCAGTTCGCGAAATATTAATAATAAACACACACAAAACTTAGCACAGGTATATATGAAATTCAGTATTGATTTAAGAGGTTCTAAATGTCAGATTTTATTTTTGGTTGTTCAATATTTTTGTTGCTTCGGCCTACCATAAGAAAATAACCTTACTTATTCTGGCCACCCTACTTTAGGTTGATGAAAATTTTGATCCATACTCCACAGCCAAAATACACGAAAATTTTAATAACCATTACGCATGTAAGCGCTCTTCAATCAATTGCATATTGAAAATGCTTGAAGATAGTTGTCTTTTTATTGGAAATTTTGACTTATCAATAAAAGCATCCAGAAAAAATAATCCATTCTGAGCACAAGATTCATTTCCTACTTAATGGTATCATGAAATAAGTTTGAAAATGGATAAGACAAGCCTTTGTTGCTTCATCTATATTCTATATATATGTCACCATAATGTAGAAGCATCACTTATAGCATAGCAAAATATTTTTGACTTCATAGAAATATCTTACCTAAACAATTGTTTTTGTTCCTAAAATTGATTACTGTGTGTTTGTGACCCGTTTTTGTGAAATTTTGTCTTACTTATTGATGGTTTATACATAAGCTTCAAATATTATTTATTATATTATTATGCTTGTTTGTTATTGATATTATCAGCACGTGAAATATGTGTTTTTGTATTAAAATGGATCATCATATATTATTACTAGTTAGTAGTCGTTTTGTCTTTAGTGCCGAGAGTGACATAGTCTAGTAAGGACAAACAATGGAGTCTGTCTTTGCAACTCTTCTGTCATTCAATGTTTTCAAAAACATGGAAACTAGCAAGTGAAGAGGAAATGCCATCCTGGCAGTTTGTTCCGGTAATCACTGTGGTAGTTGTGTTCAACCTCACTGGTAGGGTACCGGTACTACAAGTTTTGAGGTACCGACTATAGACTAGATTTTGATTGAATTTGATACCATGTACCGATATTCAGCTAACGGCACAGTACCTATACATCCCTACCCCAGCCTAAACCAACCCGCAAACACCCATAATACTGTACCGGCAACCTAGTTTGTTATCTTTTAGGTGCAGTTCTGCGGAGTGTCGTAATCTGACTTTTCAATATATTCAAATAATTATGATCTCGAACAAAACAAAAATTATAGACAATTTTTTTTTAATCAGAAAAAAATTCGCAAACGAAATTGAAAAAAAAAAAAATAACCATAAAAATGTGATTCAAAAACTTCATAGTTCTATCAATAGAAAACTTCCAACACAACATACTAACTAATCGACTGTATATATATATACTGTTAATATAATCCTTCTTGTTGTAACATGACAATTAATTTCATGCTGACCGTAATGCTAAAATTTTGGCTCTTTGGCATTTTATCTGTTAGTGTTCGCATTGTTATTCACTGTAATGATCCAGGCTTTGCAAGTTAATGCTTTTGTATTGCTTTTTCAAATACTGAAGAACAGTAACAGGTTCGTCGGTGACTTGTGACGCTTTTCTGGACGAGAAAATGTCATTGTTTTCATATTGTAGCTCAGATAACAAGACATCGTTGTTAGCTTGCACAAAGTAAGCAATTGATCTTCTCTCGACGTTTTCTTCGGCTGTTTTGGGCATCAGTATTCTGTGTTCCTGTAATATATGTATATAGTTTGAAAACTTAAACAAACTGTACGCTGTTACGATTATGTGCAAAAATGGTTGTAATATGCGTCAAAATATTCCAACTTGTAAAATCGTTAAATCAACTATCATTAGAAAAATGTTTAATAACAGCACAAAAAACATGTACTTTACACAATCGAGTACATATCTTAACTTATTTATATCAGTGGTGTGTCTTCGAACTAGTGAGGACCTAGTCCTCACAATTTTTGGATTCATTCCTCCATTGGCGTATTTTAAAACCCTTCATCCCTTACCTGCTACGCATACTCTGACTTTTGTCTCGTCTGCATTAAAGTGATTCTCAATAGAAATACTTGTGATACTACACGCGAATGCAAAATAAAATTTCCCCTCAAAAACATTAAGTTGGAAAACTCTGGTCTAGGACAATCAAGCATCTGCGGAAACCAAAGTAAAGTTATATTTCCCGCCACTAATAAACAACATTTTATATTCTGAATGTAAACGCTCAATATTGTATCTGTTATAAATAGCACAACATAAAATGCCATCGGAAGCCCCAAGCACCATCTTCCCAAACTAGTTGACAACATTTTTTTTGCGAAAGGACTAATACAATGTAGTGTGGCGTATTTAGTAAATTTAATTTTTTTGAGACATTGAAAACTAAATTACCGTTGATTTGAGCCTTCCTTGTGTCCAAAACTGCAAAGCATCTCCTATGTTTACTAACGCTGTTCCCGGTATAGGAGTGGCATCCACGTATTCTCCATTGTTGGCTTTCACCTTAATATTTTGTTGTAATCGTTGAAAATACTTTCAAAAATTGATATCTACTATGTTTCTCTTCTGTTAAGTTGAATTAAACAGATACATAGAAAATATTTTACAGATATTTCACGTTGAAACAAACCTGCAGTCCGCCCACTTTATCTTGAAACAAAATAGTAAAAGATCCAAAATCAGTATGTTCACTAAGACGAACTTGACCTGGTTCGAACGAACACTCATCGGGTATGCGTGGGTAGTAATGTGTTCTGAGTGTCGTTAAATTCCTTTCATCGTTCATTCGAGAATGACATTTCATCAAGTATTCTTTATCCTGTTATAATAAAAAATTAGGATTAAGGATGTACGTTTCAGAATTCTGGATCGAGGCGATTCGAATTACAGCTTTACCTGAGCCATAACACTCCATTTTATTTATTGTAATTAATTGTTTCGATCGATTACTTAAAATGTAAAGTTTTATAGAAAAAATATGTCGATATAAACGGTTTTTTAATATTGTTGCAATAACAATATATATCATTGCATTATTCTTTATTGCATGTTTTAAAATCACGTAGCAAACGGTACGAAAGCACGTTCGACTTCGTTTATCATTTGAATGAGTATTGATTTAGAATACAGTATTGGGTATTTGTGATTATATATATATTATATAGATCACTAAGTTTTCTATGAAAATATGTGGATGGGAGGAGGTGACAATTTCATTTATTGTCGAGTTAACATAATGCGTTGTCAACTGTACGTGAGAGTTCAAAGAGTTGACCATTTAATACTAAATCAAAGTTATGATTACCTTGAGACCTAATCCCAATGATATTGCTCCCAATATTCGAGTTGACAAGAAACGACAATGGCCCCCGAATTCCTTCATGACACAAGAATATCCAGCAACTTCTTTGTCTGGCCAGATTGTTCGTCCAGGTACAAATGCAGATCCAGGAATATCAAAACCTTCTTTATAATCTGCGGGCCTTAAAGCCGAATTTCTAAAATAAAAATATCTCACATGTAAATTGTCGAAGAACATTTTCTTACTTGTATACTAGGCAGAATCGCAAACCCACGCGGTAAAAAGATTCTAAAAAATTACGCGAATCATTGACTTGCCAAAGATAACCCTACCTAGAATTTATATACATTCAATATGGAAGTATGAAACATGCACTTACTTCTCTACTCCGATCCCGATGTAGCCAAAGCACTCTTGATTGATGTCATACTTCTTCTTTTTTTCCATGGGTAGATCAAAAAATTGTTTCGCAGTTTTATTCAATTTCTCCACATCATTCCTGTAAATAGTAATAAAACAAAATTTTATCAGTGAATATCGCTAAACCGAATTATACAATAAGGGAATGTTCTACGGCTGTGAAATTAGATTGCTCTGGTGGACTGAATGTAAGACAATAACAAGTTTGCCAGAGTATTATCATTAGTATCAAAACACTTCATCGTTAAAGTATCCAAATATCAATTCTGAATATTCGTAATGTTTTCTGTGTATTTGCACAGTTTTAAATCATAAATTTTTGTTCTACTGAGTCAAGTTCCTGTCCTTTCACGTTATTGTTGAGTTTCTGAAAAGGTAATAGTCATCCTATAGGTGAAATTCAACTTACTTTGATATACCAGTATCTTTTAGATAAACGAAGCCGGCCGAGTGAAAAGCTTTCACAATCGATTCTCCAACAGACTTCAAGTCTTTCGTAGATATATTTTTGTTTCGTATCGCACAACTGGCGAAATCTATCACAGGAAGCTTCATTTTTATGTAAACTAGCGTATAGGTTTATATAATGTGTCAGAAATTGTTAGTACTTTAAAACAGAGCCAATGTTTAATCTAAAATTTCGCTATTTTTCATTTAATTCTCGAGCACTCTCTTCCACGACAGCACACATCTATAACTGCATCTCATCTGGTACACGTACAACATGTGGCTATGATACAAAAGACAATAAGATCCTATAGTTACTTATTCGTAAAACATATCCTCCGCACTAATTGCTGGAAAATAACAGCTAGTAATAAACGCATCATACAGTAACTCAATTTAATTTATTTTTACACCATCCAACTATTTCAACTTTTAGGACCTTTGCGTAGACTTAATATAAAGTTAGACTATAACGTGATTTCTTCGGTTCCAAAAACTGTTATGAATTGTCACACTTTCACAGGAAATTTTAATACTGCCCAGTTATTTCTTAGAAAATCCGGTCATCATGTATCTTAAATATTTCCTGTTCTTCGTTTGTTAACAATACAATTTTCCGCGAAATGCTTTAACTGTCAAATTGTACAGTATGCTTAAATTGAATCCTATTATGCCTTTAAACTATGAGACGTAATTATCCCATTCCCTTGTTTTTATTTCATTAATACGTCTACTAACAGCCGCCGCTTGGGATCGCTCAGAATATTTGATAACACATGGCATTGTGTGAAAACTGCGATAAAAAAATCGCTCTTTGGCGAAACGTAGACAGACTCGTGGTTGATTTCGACGAAACGAGGGATAGTTTTGAAAATAGTTAGATTGCTTCTTATTATGGCTAAACTTTAAATTTAGTTTTGTATATTTCAACAGTGTTTTTAATTTTTAGTTCAGTTCTAAAATATTACAGATAGCTTAATTAATAATATTTCGAAAATAAAACATATACTAAAAGTGAAATAGGAGAAACATGTACGATGTTTCATCTTTTATTATAATTGTTTCTTTTTGACTGCGTGAAACGCTTCGAAATTATTTATGAAATACAGCACCCTTCATATCTATGCTTTTCTGTTATAAGAAGGTCCTATATGATATTAATGCGATAATACTGCAATATGACAATGTAACATTAATCACTTTGCGGACTAAAACATGAGTGTGTAGCTTTTAAACACTTCCGGGAATTAAAGAAAAACGTGTTCGCGACGAATCAGTAACATACATGTCAACGATCTTAACAACGAAATACAATCCCCATGATAAAGCAGCTATTGGGCGTAACCAGTCAAAGCTATAACAGACAAGAAAACAATGCTCAAATATATGGACACGTTAACTAGAGCGAAGCAGGCCTTGACGCTACTGGTACCCTCAAAAAATTTCCGAGTTTCTCGTAGCAAGAACTTACATAATCAAACCGGACAGGCAGTGTTCCCATGGATAAATAATATTACAGCGAAATTTTGTACGAAATATCAGATTTCATACGAAATTCAGAAATAAATAAAAGTAATAGCCTTCTGGCAAAAAAATCAATCTTTAACCACTGAAAATTTCAAAGCAATTATTCGAAGAGAAAAGTAGGGCACTATTCGCCATTCCTCAAATCTTAGCAAAGCAAGGATTTCGTTACGAACCACCGATGTTTGATGGCACGTGATCAGAAGAACATGAAGAACGTTCGGTGACGTCATAGCAAACAAAAACAAATCTCACTGAGCTAACAGAAATATTTGAAATAAATGAAAGTAATAGCCTTCTGAAGAAAAATTTCATCTTCAACCACAAAAAATTTCAAAGCAATTAGTCCTGTAATCAAAGAGAAAAGCGACTTTTTAGGTTTTCCACTCGGTGTTCAAAAAGTGTCAAAGAACAACAACAAAGAACAACAACAACAACAACATAATATTGAAACGATCGTTATGTCCACTAACGTGTCCAATAAATATCTTTGACGCTCGTAACATTATCCCTCAATTACATTCACAATATAGTTCGAAAAGGTTCCGAATACCTACCAAAACAACGTTCAACGCTTTAACGCAAAAGGGCGAATCTTTGGAAGCAGCTTCAACAAAATGAGGGAAAAAATTAACTATGCTTTAAATACCAGCTTAAAAGCGTTTTGATAACGCGCACGTGATTTGGAATTGATTCGGAGTATTTCCATAGCCGACATTCTAATTATTGTATGCAATAAAATTCATTTTTTGAACTGACTTACCAATAACTTTTTAAACATTCAAGCACAAAATGGATCACTTATTCGTCCAAAGTCAAGTCGCAACTTCTAGTAGCCTACATGTCAACCCGATATTATGTTTGTTTTGTTAGCCAACCTGTGGTAATTGCATGGCTGAGTGTTACTGTATGAATCCTAAAAGAAACACATGCATGCAAAAAACTTAGGCAATGGTATGCATATCATTACCTGTCTGTAATGTAATCGGAAGGGATCGGCAACCTTCTATCGCTCGCGGGCCAGAATTAAGGGCGAGTCGCACATACTTTTTAAGAAAGTTAAAAATCGAACGGGTGGCTGATGGATTACATATTTTTACACAGATCAGAAATTGAAATTTTAGACTTTAAAAAGCGAGCGAACACCGCGACGACTCGATTCAAACATCGATATGAATTTTTTCGCATTGTTTGTCCAACTTAGATAGAAATTTCCTTCGAGAAGATACTTTTTATAGAAATCATGCAATGACACATCTCTCGAATAAAAAATTTCTTTCTAGGATTTTATTTCCTCATTGCATTACATCTCAGGAAATTCGACGCCGCCATTTTGTCGCAAATTTCAGTGAAGAATTGCGAGTCGGATTATTTTACTCCACGGGCCGGATATGGACCACGGGCCGTAGGTTGCCGACCTCGGGCATACTGCAATCTATCTGCACCTCTATTACTATACCTTTATTCCTGTCGTTGTGTATTAAAAGCGTTCACAAAGGAAAAATGCGATTACGCCATAAATAAACAACGACGCCACCTATTATATATACGTTCAAACTATGAATAACAGCACAATATTCTATTTACCTCCATATTTTCAAAATTGCACAAAGTTCAAATTAAACGATACAGAGGGGGGCGAAAAAGTCTCTAAGGGGGCGATCAATTTACTGACTGTCTTCCGGAAAAATTTCAAGTAATTTACTGCCAGATTTGGGTTGTCACAAATTAGGTGAAGTTTTAGGATAATCTTCACGTTGCGCAGAATACAGTAATGTGGCACATATTGTCTAGTCCGGCATCTGCAATGTTTCTTGTTAGAGTGTCAATCGATAAAGTTCAATGCTAAAATAAACGTTTTCGTTGAGGTCAATTTATTGACTGTCTTCCAGATAGATTTCATGTAACCTACTGTCAGATTCGAGTTCACAAATTAGGTGAATTTTTCGGAAAATTTCACGTTGTGCAGAATACAGTAATGTGGCACATTACATATATATTGTCTAGTCTAGGCCGGCATCTGCAACGTTTCTTGCTACTTGCTAGGGTGCTAATCGATAAAGTTTAATGTCAAAATAAACGTTTACGTTGAGGTCAATTTACTGACTGTCTTCCAGATAGATTTCATGTAACCTACTGTCAGATTCGAGTTGACACAAATTAAGTGAACTTTTCGAAAAATTTCACGTTGTGCAGAATACAGTAATGTGGCACATTACATATTGTCTAGACCGGCATTTGCAACTTTTCTTGCGAGTGTGCCAATCGATGAATTCAATGTCAATATAAACGTTTTCGTTGAGATGGAAAATTGCGTTATATAATAAACCCTGAGGAAAACGTAAAATTACTTGGATACTTTCCACTGCCTAAAGTTATTTGTTCGAATGTACTTGACTAAATTCCACAACAAATTATTAAATTTTTATTATATATATGCACAAAAATAGGTACTCATGTAGTATGCGAACCAAGATGGCCGACACCGGAACGTAGTGTGTGTACCAGGTTAGGGTTAGATCATAATTTTATTCCAATTTTCCTTTTAGTTCAGTTACGAGTTCGGGTACCAGCCAAGTGACTCACGTAGTATTTGTACCTGGAATTATGGCCCAATCCTAACCTGGTACAAATACTACGTTCTGGTGTCCGCCATTTTGATTCGCATACAACAGTAGTACCCAAAAATATTCACAATAACACGCTATTCTAGTGAGAGTAATGTCCTTGCTTTTCCCATTCAGAGATTTAATATTCGCCTTGTAAATCATAAATTCGGAATTATCAGCCGTGAGGCGACTACGATGATTCTCCCTTAAATCGAAATAAAACGCAAATACCTGTATGTGAGTGAACAATGATGACGTAAAAAATGATGAACATAAATGATAATGACGAAACAATGACGAAATATAACCGCGTGTTTCGCACCGGATGTATGGTCATTTATATTTATTCATTTTAATATTCTGGAACGTGTTTTTGAAAAAAGTTCACGATGCCTTGTGCCGTACGAAATAAGGGCTAACTAGCGTGTCATGATTGGAAGATCATTATAAGGGCTGTAATGGTGTTTAATGCGACAAACGGCATATTCCATCATTTTCTCTTCTCTCCTCTTTTTTTGGCGTCACCTAGTCATGTGATTCCCGATAACCAATGAAAAGGCGTCTTAATTTCGTGGTCTTCTCTGCCCTCTTTGTTTCTTTATTACATCCAAACTTTTTTCCTGCCACGTCAAGATTTGCCTGTTTCCATGCGGTCTTTTCAAATTTGACGCCGCCAGGTGAGCACTGATTTTGTTTTTGTGATTTTTTTAAGTTTAACGGTTCATGTACACATTTTTGTCGCTAAACTGCCTATAATTCAACGCTTGTATTACGTTACTGTTATTTTCTAAGTTTTTACAGCTTACTAATGCAAATAAACTAAACTTAGGTCTACTATTATTGATTCAAATATCTACAAAGTGGCATTGAGATTACCAATTCTGTATTGGTGAGTGAATCTTAATCGGAGGATGCTATGACTTTTGCAGATAAACTCATTTTTTCAGATAGGCCATAGCATAGTACTAAATGATTCTTGGAATGCAAAAATTGAACCAAAGACGAAGACGTAAACCAATAGAAGCGACTGAGAACAAGAAAGTGTTCAATTGAAAACAAGTAAAAAACTTAAAGTGTATTCAAATTTAGGCTTTGAATAGATTTCCAAATGTACTTATTGCCGTGTTTTTGCTTTTACCTCGTGTTAGTTTTTATGCAGCCTATATATTGCATCTTAGCTATGTTATATATTTCAGATCGTGTTTATGCAAACTGACTGAATGTAAACAAGCTGCGAATGTTGACATTGGGAACTGATTGAGCGGAACAGACACTACGGATAAATAAATATCCATTAAATTAGAGATTTCAGTTAGGCCATAATATATAGCACTAGATTGATATTGAGTAGTATTTGTGTGGAATCGAGACCCTGGGGAAGATATGGCTGTGCAAAGAGGTTTGAACCATTTCAGAAATAAAGTCAACATCGGCATTAAAACTCGACAATGATTCTAGCGTGTTTTCTTGTTTACAACCGTTTTTCTAAGTCCTTCACAGCTATACTAATGTAGTTAGGCCTACAATTGTTGATTCATATATGTGTGTACGTGTACGGAGTGGAAAAGTTGAAGAAAAGGGGGGAAAAAGATAAAAACGAAGTGGTGTTAGGGCGATGGTTAATGCGAGTCGGAGACTTTCGGAAAGTATGGTTGAAGGGATGCAATCAAGGATTAATAAGGTAACTTAATATTTAATCTAATAGAACAGCCATAAGTGTCTTCTTATATATCCCTCAAAGGAACTTTCAATTACATATGAAGGCTGCATACTACTGGGAACACATGTTGAGCATCGTACTATTGTTGCATTCAAATTTACATTTTCAATAAATTCCGATGTATGCGATTTTATACATAAACTAACCCAACAACAATTAACAAATGGTTTGGATTTCTTTGCTTGCTTCTGTTTTCCTACAGGCGATTTGTAATTCCTTTACAGTTTTATTTTTACTAAAGCAGTTAAACTAATATTAGACCTACAATTATTGATTTGGGTTGGAATCGGATCACAAATTATGGAATACTTCCGAGTGAAAACGAAAACAAAAGATACAATGCAGCATAATATTTTAATGATGGCTGGTGTTTATTTTTGAATCTGACTCAACGAAGTGCGGCGATCAAGGAGGTGAAATTTTGATTTATGTAAAATTTTAAGATGGGATGAAACGGATCGATTCATTAACTAGACTCAAGTCACCAATGACAAAGACCTGAGATGGTTCGAGTCGTTCATATAAATGTGAGGATTGGACTAATCATTAATTAATCTGGCAGACAGGCGTAACTCAGTTAGTAATTCGACTTAGTGGATCTTGGTGCAGTATGGTATATGTCGGGGGTGGCCAACAGACGCGATCAACTTGTTGGCCACCCGACTTGTTTCGATTTTGTCAGTCATTGTATTGTCCTTTATATATATTATATTTCTCAATACTAGAATTGTGATTTCAAACAATAGCGTGGTTTTTCAAGATTCTAGGCGGTGAACAACATGTATTTATATGAGTATAAACAAATACGTTTTTTGAATAATCTGACTGTTTTGCATTTTAGCTCGATATCACGGTTTCGGGCGTATTTACGCAAACTATGGCGGGATGTTAATAAACTGAAAAATGTTGGCATCGGGATCTGCCGTAGGAAATGCGGTCCGACATATATTCAGTTAAGTATTAAATATTTGACTTTGCATTTGAAATTCGGGTTATAGTTGTTTCATTCTTTGTAACTTTCGTATTTTGTAAAACCAATACCTTTTTAACTTTTTCATCAACCATTGAGTTTTTTTTTTGACGAACGTAAAAGGTGAAAAGGGAATGAAAGCGTAAACATGATATTGAGTTATCGATGGTCGCGCGACGTAGGTGAGGGAAGATAAGTGTATGACGCGTTTAGACATTTTACCGATGTGTGCTGTCCCATCTTCTATCCCATCGCCGGAGGTCCCTATGTATAACACTGAGCAACGTACACTTTGTAAGTGCATTGAAATTTACATTTCGAATAGATTCCAATGTATGCGATTTTATACATAAACAAACCTAACGGCAATTGCTAATCTGGATATTTTTGCTGGTTTCTGTTCCCTTACAGGCGATTTATGATTCCTTTATAGTTATGTTTACTAAAGCAGTTAGACTAATATTAGACCTACAATTATTGATTCGGGGTAAAATTAAATCACACAACTTCTGGAATTGTTCGAGTGAATACGAAAACGAAAAAACAATTCAGCATTTTTTGAATCGACTCAAACGAAGAATGGCAATAGAGGTAACTTTTATTCAAGTAAAATTTCAAGCGGTTTTTCACATTTTTCATTATTATAAACCTAACATCTTTAATATTTTTTTTATCTGCGGTAGTGTCTTTTTCTTCTCTTCCGAGTTCTGACCTCAGAAGAATCTATTGCGCGCGTGCCCATTTTGGCTCAGGGCGTGGTAGCGTGAGGTCGTTTCTGTGTAATCGCCCTTCGAAATATTTAGCTGATCAATGTGATAAAAAAAAGGTAGGTTCAAAATATTATTCTACATTACAGGCTTGAAAACGAGGAAAAAGGCCAAAAAAGAGAACCATATACATTTGAAATTGACGTGGTTGCTGGTCGTTTAACGCAACTGGACTACAGGTAAAGATGTTATGACATCTAAAGTCTATCGGTTTTATCGCTTGTTTTCAAATCAAAGGTTTTATAATTTCCAATCTAATTCCAGGGCTTTGCAAGGGTAGAAGATATTGTTACTGCTGGTGGTCGGGTAAAGGCTGGTCGCTGTAAATTGAGACAGGTTAATTGTATTTTTATATTTTATGAGAAATTTCATTGAGAGCTAAGGCGTATATCAAACGTTGTTGTTTGTACAATGTATACTTTTGGATGATGCTAATAACAAAATTTTAAAGTTACTATTGCATACTGTGACTTCCAATTTGAACGAGTATGACCTCAAATTTGTTCTACGTGAACGCATGTATAGGATAGTTAATATTATATAGTTAATAGTTAATGGAGTTAATGTGATATTGTAGTTCTGGTAGTTAAAGAATGATTATTTGTCCGTGACAAGGAACAGTTGGTGAGTTCTACTTCCGATATATCTATTTTACTGCAGGTCGTGCTTCGATTCGATTATGCGTAGGAAATGTCCGAACATATTATTTACTTGTTAAATATCTCATTCTTACGGATTTTACATAAGAATACCAACAATTTCTTGGGAGTATTATTCATCAGTTTCTTTTTGTTTCAGGACTGAATGTACAGGAGAGAAGACAATTCCACATAACAGTTGGACCACATTTCGCAGAACAATATAACTGAAAGTAAGTCTTATCAACACAAAACAAGTAACTCGAGAGATAAATTTTTTGCACGAATAACATACATCAATCGTGTTATTTTTCTGTCTAATTTGTAATTATTAGCCTTTGAATAAATGAACAAGATCGAACCGTCCCACTTTCTTCTGTGCCATATATAAATGTACCTGTACTGTTGAGCATTCCAAAGGCGCATGCATAACAAATCCAACTGATCCTCTATTGATTTCAGGTATTTATCTACACAAAAAATGACGTATATCTATGAAGAACATTGAACGAATCGTCGTGAGGAAAGAAATTGTTTGTCAAAATTCACAAATACAAACTGTACTGAGCTGTTTTGGATCAACTATCATCGCATTCACATAGTTCACATTATTATTTAGTGATACTCTGCGCATTCACATATATTCAGTGTTTCTCAAACGGTTGGACGAGCCTCGCAATGGGGGCGTATACCTTATTTTGGGGGTAGAGAGGGAGCTGATTAAAAACATAAATATTTGTTGAATTTGATCTTGCCTGCCTTATTTTATATATTTCCTTCTCTTTATTGTTCAAAGATTGCGATTCCATTCCATCAACGTTTTTTTTAATGAGACCTACTTTCGCCTTGCTAACGATAAGCTCTGTTATTAAGTTATTTGAGGTTAAGCGCGAGACTTGGACAAATTCCAAAAAAATGGCTCGATTAAAAAGTTTGAGAACCACTGAATAAGTGGAGCATTTTGGTAATGCATTGCGAATCGAGGTGGTGGAGTCCGTCATCTTGATTTTAAAGTCTACTGAAGGCCTGTCGAAATTTATATTGATTTGTGGTAGCAGTGTATGCCGATTAAAGTCTATATATGACGAGGAAAACGGCGAAGGTGAATTCCACTCAAATTTAATTAGCCCGTTGTAATGTAATGCATACAAGTAAATATTAATTTCGTGATTATTTCTAAAATATAGATAGCACTTTGAAGCTGAAGCGATAGAAAATTTCACACGTAAGAATTTATCAGTAATTTTTGTCAAAAGTAAGGTGTATAAATGACCTGTGCGGCCTTCAGCTTGACCGCAAGTTCCGAGACTACATCCAAATTTCAAACTCGATTTCGAAAGTTTATCAATAATTTTGTCACCAAAACTAAGCTGCAATGCAAGTTTTTGAGAATACATTCAAATTACGAATTTTAAAACGCAAATTCATTTTGTTCATTATGAAGCTGAAGACGCCGTACTCGTATTCACTTTGTGTAACATACCCATGTTTGCTTGTATTTACTGTTTCTGTTGTCTTAATATTTTCCTTGACGTCATGAATTCTTTTCAAGATGAACTTGACCTTGATTGTTAACTTGTGCTTTATTACGTTTGATCCTTGGCAAAACAATAAAATATCCTCTTAAATCATGACATTCTCAAGTTTTATTCCGGCAGGAAAAGTTAAGACAGGCATAGATTAAATCTAAGAAGAGGATTACAGGGCAGGAAGCGCTGGGGCGGTGCAGCGGGTACGGGCGACCCAGCCCGGCCGCGCATCCGGGCCCGCGATCCAAAAAAAAATCCTGGAAAATTATCGTCGGCCGTAGATAAATTATTATGTTCGGATATGTATGGCTCGAGGATAATAATGGGATTTCAGCCAAATATTATCTCTGGCCACGTATGGCCAATGATGGATAAAATTCGCGCAAATAATTATCTTCGGCCACACTTGATCAATGATAATTTTTTGGATCTTGACATTTTGAAGGGTTGGGACCTTGAATTTTTGTCGACTTTGGACATTTTCATCGGATAATTATCACTCTGAAACCTTTACTTCCTCTCATGACGTCACCTCCAATATTTTGTAATCGATATATTTCAAAAGACTTCGTTGGATTCGAACTTTGGTCTCAAATTTTAGTCGATGTGCACCTAACCACTACACCACAATAATGTTAAGTGATAACCAATTTAACTCTAATACTTATCTTTCAAGAGGCGTGGGCACGAAGACTCTGAAATGAGGTTGATTACCCCTTTGATGAGTAAGTATTAGAGTTAAATCCTATAAAAATCAAAACTGTTGTGGTGTAGTGGTTAGGTTCGCATTGAGTTAAACTTAAGTCTAAAGTTCGAATCCAATGAAGTCTTTTAAAAAACAACAACTTTGGATCTACTATTATGAAAAAACAGATGAGGGTGACGTCATGGAGAGGTGTAGAAGCCCTCAAATATTGACAATAATCTGATGAAAATAGCCGAAATCGACAAAAATCTAAGGTCAAACCCTTGAAATATCAAAATTAAAAAAAAATATCATCGATCAAGTGTGGCCGAAGATAATCATTTGGACGAATTTTATTTATCATTGGCCAAGTGTGGCCATAGATAATATTTACCTAAAATCCCGTTATTATCATCGGGCCATACATATCCAAACATAATAATTGATCTTCGGCCGAAGATAATTTTCCAGGATTTTCAGGATCGCGGGCCCGCCGGGCCCGCCCGCCCCAGGCCCGTACCTGCTGCACCCGCCCCAGCGCTTCCTGCCCTGTAACCTCCCCTTTAGAATTTAATCTATGCCTGTCAAACTTTCCCTGTCCGGAATGAAACTTGAGAATGTCACGATTTTGGAAATATTTTATTGTTTCAACGAAGCACAAGTTAAAAATATCACAAACAAGTTCAAGTTCATCCTGAAACACTTCATTAACCACCAAAATTCAAGATATCAAGATAAATACAACAGTAAACACGCACCAACATGAACATATTACAACGTGAATAAATAATGAATGGCAGTTACCCTCACAATATATTCCTAGAATTAGGTTTAAAATTCGGCTGGAAAACTTGCAGCCAAGATGAGATCTTTCAATTAGCATAAAATTATAATATATACATGTACATATGTATAATACTCTTAGTTTCTATCGCCAGACTGAAGCGGTGACGAAGGTATATATTTCAGAAATTGTAAAACGAAATCAAAATACATTCGTAATTTTTTTTTCTATCACGAGAATGAGGCCGTCTAAATTTCAGGTTCAGGGTGAATTTTGGGTGGATATATTTCAGAAATTGTAGAACGAAATTAATATTTATTCAAGTTAATCGGCATAAACAGCCAACAGAAATCTGACGTTTTGGTAGAACTTGGCATTTAAGTAAGTATTCACAATTTTTACGAGTGCAAGGGGTGAATCATTATAAATTCAAAACGAAATGTGTCCGCTGCGCATATAAGGGAGTTTATTAGATGCCAGGATTCCATAACATTAGACAGTTGGGCCAGAAGATAGCAACGTAAATATTGAATAGGCCTTCAGCAGATTTTAAAATCAAGTCGACTCCTCCGTCATGCTACGTTACAATAAACTGAAACGATCTATGTGAATACGAGAATAGTTGATACAAAAATGCTCAGTACAGTTTGTATTTGCAAACTTTGATAAACAGTTTCTTTCCTTGCGACGGTTCGTTCAATATTCTTCGTTGCTATAACTCATTTTTCTTCTTAGATTAATACCTGAAATTAAATGAGGATAATTAGTTATCATGCATAAGACTAATGAAATGCTCAACAGTACATGTAGATTGATATATGGTGCAGAATAAACTGGGTCGACCTTGCCCATCAAAGGAAATGTTAAAATACGGAGCACATCTTTATACTTCGTGGCTGGGATGACAAAAACCGGGCGGAAGCGCTAAATAATTATACGTTAATGACAGAAAAATGACCCTATTTCTATTATTCGTGCATGAAAACTATACCTCGGGTTTAAGCTACAAGATTTTTTTGTGTTGACGAGGACTTACTTTCAGTTATATTGTTTTGAGAAATGTGGTCATAGTTGCGTCATGTGTCTTCTACTCTGTACACCCAGTCCTGTAACAAAACAAATAGATGGATAATACTAGAAATTTTCGGTAATTAATATATAAAATCAGAATAATAATTTCTTGAAGCAACCGATATATTTAGCAAGTAACATTAGAAACAGAATTTTGAACTGCATATTAGAATCGAAGCACGACCCAAGAAGCAGTCTATTATATACATTGAAGGAGAACTTACCAATTGTAACTTTGTCCCGGGACAAATGACAAACTGCAGTTGCCATTTGTCTTCAAAAATTCATTTTGTATTCGCCGTATGTTTTCTGTAAAAAAAGAAACATTCGGTGTAAGCATATGACTGAAGACTAAATTCATTAACCAACCTGTCAATTTACAGCGATTCGTTTTCACTAGATCACCAGCAGTAAGTATTATTATCTTTGCAAAGTCCTGTGTATGGATTGAAAATTGTAAAATCTTTGCTTCATAATCGAGTTATGATGAAAATATCAAACTTCTATGTAATGTTGAAATATTTTGAGACCAACTACCTACCTTGCCATTTACATCAGTCAACTTTGACTCGACCATCAATCGTGTTGATATCATATGTCGATATAGGTTTTCTTTCACTTCTTTCTTCAAGCCTGTAATTTAGAGTATTAGTCAGGACTCACTTTATAGCTTAGCAAATTAGTATCGAACAATTCAGCCAATTAAAAGCAAAAAATAAAATACATTGGAAAATTGTCGTTTGAAGCAACAGCTAAGAGATATAGGTTCCGAGAAGCTCAGCAGCTCACATTACATCAAAAAGTGCCATTTAGGCCTAACAAACGTAAATAATTTTATTATAAATTAGGAACGATGTGCTCGCGCAAAATGAAAACAAAATACATGTTGAGTAAATCATGTACAATGAAAATATAAGATTACAGAAACTATAATCATATAACACTCAAAATGACAATCAGAAATATGAATATGGCAGAAACAAAAGCGTATCGAATTAAGAAAACTCATTTGGACCTCCAGAAGTATGCGCACAACCTGAAAATGGTATGTATGTACCGATTAGGATTCAGGTTGTACAACATCCTGGTGCGCGTACTTCTGAAGCACCATTCATTTTATGTGTTTCTGAGGTCTACGCACATCTAACTATTAATAATGAACTTTTAAAACCTAGCTTAAGATTATGGAGTTGAAAAATAGGCGACAGTATAAACATTAATCTTGTCAACTAATAGTATTGAGACTTCTTTCCTTGCCTGAAAACTATGCGTATACCTGGCGCAAACCAACGCAGAAAGGACCTCACGCCACCACACCCTGAACTGAAATGTGACACGCGCGCGAAATATTTTTTCTAAGGTCAAACGAGAAGAAATAGGCAGAACCAAAGAGAAACAGAGGAAAAGAGTTGGCCAATTTATGATAGAGCCAATTTACCATAGAGAAACAATGAGGCCAGATACTTATTCTCACTCTTGGTTGGTGACCAATGATTAGTTAGTGATATTATTGTTTACTATCATGATTAACTCACGATCAAACATGACCCAGAGGGATACAATGTTGATCTTACTTGGGATGTAACTGAGAAGATTGTCTAATTAGGCCTCATTCCACGAAAGATTTAGTAAGACAATATTTGCTTGTTTGTTTTTTGTTATCCTGATTGCACCCAGCCCCGACGTGTAAAATTCTTGAGAATTCATCTACTCTGTACACCCAGTCCTGTAACAAAACAAATAGATGGATAATACTAGAAATTTTCGGTAATTAATATATAAAATCAGAATAATAATTTCTTGAAGCAACCGATATATTTAGCAAGTAACATTAGAAACAGAATTTTGAACTGCATATTAGAATCGAAGCACGACCCAAGAAGCAGTCTATTATATACATTGAAGGAGAACTTACCAATTGTAACTTTGTCCCGGGACAAATGACAAACTGCAGTTGCCATTTGTCTTCAAAAATTCATTTTGTATTCGCCGTATGTTTTCTGTAAAAAAAGAAACATTCGGTGTAAGCATATGACTGAAGACTAAATTCATTAACCAACCTGTCAATTTACAGCGATTCGTTTTCACTAGATCACCAGCAGTAAGTATTATTATCTTTGCAAAGTCCTGTGTATGGATTGAAAATTGTAAAATCTTTGCTTCATAATCGAGTTATGATGAAAATATCAAACTTCTATGTAATGTTGAAATATTTTGAGACCAACTACCTACCTTGCCATTTACATCAGTCAACTTTGACTCGACCATCAATCGTGTTGATATCATATGTCGATATAGGTTTTCTTTCACTTCTTTCTTCAAGCCTGTAATTTAGAGTATTAGTCAGGACTCACTTTATAGCTTAGCAAATTAGTATCGAACAATTCAGCCAATTAAAAGCAAAAAATAAAATACATTGGAAAATTGTCGTTTGAAGCAACAGCTAAGAGATATAGGTTCCGAGAAGCTCAGCAGCTCACATTACATCAAAAAGTGCCATTTAGGCCTAACAAACGTAAATAATTTTATTATAAATTAGGAACGATGTGCTCGCGCAAAATGAAAACAAAATACATGTTGAGTAAATCATGTACAATGAAAATATAAGATTACAGAAACTATAATCATATAACACTCAAAATGACAATCAGAAATATGAATATGGCAGAAACAAAAGCGTATCGAATTAAGAAAACTCATTTGGACCTCCAGAAGTATGCGCACAACCTGAAAATGGTATGTATGTACCGGTTAGGATTCAGGTTGTACAACATCCTGGTGCGCGTACTTCTGAAGCACCATTCATTTTATGTGTTTCTGAGGTCTACGCACATCTAACTATTAATAATGAACTTTTAAAACCTAGCTTAAGATTATGGAGTTGAAAAATAGGCGACAGTATAAACATTAATCTTGTCAACTAATAGTATTGAGACTTCTTTCCTTGCCTGAAAACTATGCGTATACCTGGCGCAAACCAACGCAGAAAGGACCTCACGCCACCACACCCTGAACTGAAATGTGACACGCGCGCGAAATATTTTTTCTAAGGTCAAACGAGAAGAAATAGGCAGAACCAAAGAGAAACAGAGGAAAAGAGTTGGCCAATTTATGATAGAGCCAATTTACCATAGAGAAACAATGAGGCCAGATACTTATTCTCACTCTTGGTTGGTGACCAATGATTAGTTAGTGATATTATTGTTTACTATCATGATTAACTCACGATCAAACATGACCCAGAGGGATACAATGTTGATCTTACTTGGGATGTAACTGAGAAGATTGTCTAATTAGGCCTCATTCCACGAAAGATTTAGTAAGACAATATTTGCTTGTTTGTTTTTTGTTATCCTGATTGCACCCAGCCCCGACGTGTAAAATTCTTGAGAATTCATAACAGGTCGTTAGTGACATATCCGGGGCCCGGGGCTGCTCTTCCCAGGGTAATTATATTCGGAATTGATGAGGTGATTGACATAATGAAAATCGCCTATGAACTTCTGCTCGTTCTAACATTTACATATTGGTCACATAGTCCACTAAAGTTTGTTACAGGTCACCTCGAGCGAAAATCCAAAAGAATTACAATTTATAGGGTGCTTTCTGGTGGCTATGTTTAATATATATATTTTAGACCTTGGGATCCGATCAACTTGTAAAATTATAATAATTAAATTAGATTAGATTAAATTAGTAATTAGATTTATTTATCTACAACCATTATGACATCACAAAGATGAAATATTTGTGATAAATTTGAAAAAATATTTTATTTTCCATATAGTTTGAGCTGTGTCAATTCTCTTTTTAATTAGATTTATTTATCTACAACCATTATGACATAACAAAGATGAAATATTTGTGATAAATTTGAAAAATATTTTATTTCTCACATAGTTTGAGCTGTGTTGGTTGTCATTTGTAATTATGGATGTCATTCAGCAATTATCAAATACTGAGGAAAGAAGAAACTTGGTGTATGCCACAAATGTGGTGCTTACAGATCTAGTTTGGGACGAGAGAGAAATACTTGGTCGTATTGGAGTACGTAATCTCACATATGAGAAATGTGTAACCTCCAGAATATCTTTTAATCAATGGGAAAACTTTGTCGATGTGGAAGCTTTCTGGGAAGAAGGAGACGGTTCGATTGATTTTTTCTCATTTCGTGTCACTTGGCCTGAAGAAAGTACAAATGCGATGTTTGCGCTCATGGCTGTTCAAAATGGATGTACATTTTGGGACAATAATAACCAAAACAATTACGCTATACCCAGGATATTTACGTTACGTTCCATATCGCTGCCATTGAATTCTCATGACCGAGAAAAACTCGACCACTTAAACAAAACAGATACAGGACAAATCGAACCTACGAAACGTACAAGGGTTGAGTTGAAACACAGCCATTCAGAGAATGAACAGATAGAATCTGTCTCACTTGTGGAAAAGAGTGAAGAAGACATTTTGTCTTACCCTTTCGAAAAAATATCTGAATCGTCATACGGAAATACTGACGATAAATGTCCTGAGGATAATCTTATTCTATTCGACACGAAAATAACATCCTCACACAGTTTGGAAAGCGAGATCAAAAAAGATATCTTGTCAAGCGAACCCACTGTGAACGAATTACAATATTCTGACAGACCACAAGAAGAGTTTGATATTTCAGAGACAATGGAAGTACCAAAGAGGAAAAGATTATTCCGCAGAATTGCTAAATTTTTTTTTGTAAAAAAACTCAGAAAATCGAAAAAATAAAATTTCATTCTGCAAATAATGGCAATTATTTACGTGTGCAAGTCGTACGAAAGTGGGGTGGGAGTCGCAAAGATTTAAGTGCCAGAACGAATCATTTAAACAGACTCCGCGAGATTTCTCCTAAGCGGTTCTAATTTCCAGTACTGGTTAACGATATGCGTTTTGAAAGTTTTGTTTATCAAAGGTCACAATAACACGTTTGTTTTTGAGTGTCAAACCAAATTACTCTAGACCGACTTACAAGTGTGAACATCTTCTTGCCACTAATTCTTACATGACGCGAGTTACGTCTACTCTTCACTCTTTTGTTGTAGTAAATAGGTCGAAAAATGTTCAATCAAAAGCTTCTGATAAGAGCACGGCCCAGATGAAACCCAAATATTACACAAAAGTCATTTTATCTCCAGTAGTTTTATTAAATTAAAAATTAGAACACGAGATAAATAGGCAGATATCAAGTTATCATCAGTACATAGAGCTCAACACTTCTGCTTTAAAAATTGAAAACAATTTCATTTCAAAATTGAAAAAAATTTCAGATTGAAAAAATCCAGAAGCACCCATAACGATACCGAGTATTTTTACTCAAAACAGAAAATCCTTGTTGTTGTATAATAAAGCTTAACTTAAATGATTCGTCAGAACAAGTAAAATTTCTACAATAAAAATATTTATTTGTAAAAGTATTTCCATAATAACTGCGTTACTGTACCTTGTAATGTATAGCATTAAAAGCGACAGGAAACATCTAGAAAAGATTTATAGACGTATCTTGACACAAAGATATAAATCTTCTAAAAGCAAAGCCGCAAAACGATAATTGACCGGATTGTACGACTGCAAACTGAATAGATTAATATTATTATATTGGGCCTAAATAGCAATTGATTTCGCACCTTATTATTTTGATTAAAACGGAAATAAAATTGCTGTAAACCATACACGGAGCTGTTAACAGCATCTATCCGTGTAGAAAGCCCACCCCAACCCTACAGCAATTTTAAAAAATCGAATAACTCTAAATTGTACTCGCACTCCGCTTAAAATAAAGTACCGGATTCAAAATATCAAAATAAATTTCACATAATATTGATAATATAAAAAAGTCTGAAAGAGCCCACAGTTCGCTTTAATACATAGTGGGCCTCAGCTGATAATTAAGCATTCCATCAATTTTTACAACAGTCGTGTATCTTACCACGGTCTTATATGTGTGGCAAGATATTTCATCATAAATCAATTTCAGTTAGTTGTGAATCGTCTCAATGTATTGAGTTTTAAGTGAGGAGATGTCAATATTATCTAAATAGTTTGTTCATCAAAGTTTCGGCGTTTATAGTTGATCCAAGAGTCGCAGAATCAGTCTGAGGCGGCACTAGTCACATTTTTTTTAGAGTTTCATAGTGTCAGATTTGGACTGTGTTAATCTGCTGATCAGTCTTTAGTTCCCCAAATTGAGTTCAGTTGATATCGGATTTAATGCCATAAAAAAGAACCGCTGTCCGATTGTGATGGTCACTTCGATGCTTGTACCACAGTCGAGCTGTAAATGAATATTAATGTAACAGCGGTTTCAAATAGTAAGTTGGTAAATATACAGTGCGTGTACCAGGTTAGGGTACCAGGTTAGGCCATAATTGCATTCTAATTTTCTTTATTTTAGTTCTATTACGAGTAAGAGACCTGTCTATATGAGCCTAGGTTTCAATCCCTTTACACAACTTGATGTGAAGTACGCGAACAAAATTAGTTACCTCCATATTGGTACACATACTTCTGGAGCGCCCAATCTACAGCAGAATACAATGGTATACCAAAGAGTTGAGTGACCAGTTTCTAATGTTCTTTCTCTGAGTATGTGAAAATATTTTGGACAAATACCCACTGCTAATTTTTGTAGGTTTCAGTTGCGAACTAGATAAACAAAATAAAATGTTTTAAAGTTTCACCTCCTATGGTCTTTTCCAAAGGACAATTTGTAGATTTGATGTCAACTTCAGTTTCACAACGCTCCTGTCCCCCTTCTGAAAGTGAATAAGAAAAATTTAGTTTTAACAAACTATCTGTGGTGAATGCATGTACAGTTACCAAAGTACTGTAATTGTTATAATATACAGTGTAATACTGACTTCACATATGCCTCGCTTATGTTGTCTAAAAGACATTACATATTTGCTTACCATTGTGTTTCCATGAGGTTGTGTGCGTTGTTATCAATAATATGATCAAAATCACTATTCCAGTAATACTGATAATCATTTCTCCGCAGTGCAAATCTATATAAAAAAAAAATGCAATTTTTTTTTCACTTTGAAGTGATTAGTCCAAATATGATTTTTATGAACAACTTCCACATCTTGAATTTGAACTACAAAGAATAAAAATGTCAAAATTATCCTATTTTTTACCTTTTTCTATGTAGTCGACGCACTCTTACAGTTCAGTTAAGTTCATAGCAAATAAATCAACAGTTCCATTCCCACAATTTGTCTCAATTACGCAAATGTCAACTCGATGAAAGGCCAGCAGCGATGCTCGTGTTCATCAACAATCCAAGTAAACTTTTATATTAAATAAATAAACGGTTTCATCCACGATTTGCCATCAGTTAATAAGTTTAACCAGACGTCCAGATATGCCACATGTGCTTCATCAACAATTCGAGTCCTTTTTATTGTATATTTATCAACGGGTATAATATCCACAATTTGTCAACATGTATGCAAGTTTCCACTCGATGTTTTTAAACCTGTGTGTATCGAAAATAAAATACAAACAAGTAGTTTTATTATCTTTAGGCCAGCTTTGACAGCATCAACAATTCTATTGCAGATCTGAACGGTTTCATAATACACAATTCTACCAGTTATCCAAGTGCATCAACTATTTAAATTTCAACGAAACCTGAAAAAGAGAATGGTAACCTGAAAACAAAATGGTCACACAAAACACTTATGTGTTCAACATCCTGCTCCGAAGACAGGCCTTGCATCAGAAATGCCAACGCAACTTGCAATAAGCATGGTTAGAGCCTACGAAAACGGTCGGGGCACGCAAAACGAAAACGGTCAGGGCCCGCAAAACGGAACGGTTGGGGCCCGCAAAACGGAAACGGTTTGGGCCCTTAAAAGGTTAGGGCCTGCAAAACAAAAACGGTTATAGCCTGCAAAACGAAAACGGTTATAGCCTGCAAAACGAAAACGAGTATAGCCTGCAAAACGAAAACGAGTATAGCCTGCAAAACGAAAACGAGTATAGCCTGCAAAACGAAAAAGGTTATAGCCTGCAAAACGAAAAACGGTTATAGCCTGCAAAACGAAAACGGTTATAACCTGCAAAACGAAAACGGTTATAGCCTGCAAAACGAAAACGGTTATAGCCTGCAAAACGAAAAACGGTTATAGCCTGCAAAGCGAAAAACGGTTATAGCCTGCAAAGCGAAAAATGGTTATATCCTGCAAAGCGAAAAACGGTTATAGCCGGCAAAACGAAAACGGTTATAGCCGGCAACACGAAAACGGTTATAGCCGGCAAAACGAAAACGGTTATAGCCGGCAAAACGAAAACGGTTATAGCCGGCAAAACGAAAACGGTTATAGCCGGCAAAACGAAAACGGTTTTAGCCTGCAAAACGAAAACGGTTATAGCCTGCAAAACGAAAACGGTTATAGCCTGCAAAACGAAACCGGTTATAGCCTGCAAAACGAAACCGGTTATAGCCTGCAAAACGAAAACGGGTATAGCCTGCAAAACGAAAACGGTTATAGCCTGCAAAACGAAAACGATTATAGCCTGCAAAACGAAAACGATTATAGCCTGCAAAACGAAAACGGTTATAGCCTGCAAAACGAAAACGGTTATAGCCTGCAAAACGAAAACGGTTATAGCCTGCAAAATGAAAAAGGTTATACAAAACGAAAACGGTTATAGCCTGCAAAACGAAAACGGTTATAGCCTGCAAAACGAAAACGGTTATAGAACTGCAAAACGAAAACGGTTATAGCCTGCAAAACGAAAACGGTTGGGGCCTGCAAAACGAAAACGGTTGGGGCCTGCAAAACAAAAACGGTTGGGGCCCGCAAAACAAAAACGGTTGGGGCCTGCAAAACAAAAAAGGAAAAAGGTTATACAAAACGAAAACGGTTACAGCCTGCAAAACGAAAACGGTTATAGCCTGCAAAACGAAAACGGTTATAGCCTGCAAAACGAAAACGGTTATAGAACTGCAAAACGAAAACGGTTATAGCCTGCAAAACGAAAACGGTTATAGCCTGCAAAACGAAAACGGTTATAGCCTGCAAAACGAAAACGATTATAAGCCTGCAAAACGAAAACGGTTGTGGCCTGCAAAACGAAAACGGTTGGGGCCTGCAAAACAAAAAAGGTTAGGGCCCGCAAAACGAAAACGGTTAGAGCCTGCAAAACGAAAACGGTTAGAGTCTGCAAAACGAAAACGGTTAGAGCCTGCAAGACGAAACCGGTTATAACCTGAAAAACAAAAACGGTTAGAGCCTGCACAACGAAAACGGTTATAACCTCTAAAACGAAAAAGGTTATAGCCTGCAAAGCGAAAATGGTTATTAGAGCCTGAAAAACGAAAATGATTAGATGCGTCCTGTTGGCTAAACATGTAAATAGGGGCACAACAACACAGGTGTTCAACAGATCCTTTATTTTTAACAATTTCCCAAGTCCCCAACAAAAAATATCAACCAAAACATTGTCTGTAAAAAGAATTCTGTAAGTCGTAGTTCATTGCAGCATATTTGGAGATCAATTGTCAACAAATCAGAAGCCATACAACCATTATGTCCAGATTCAACTTGCAATGTCATGTTCCAACTTCTGTATTTTCCGAAACCTCAACATAAAAACACTATAGAAAAGCACCTGAAATACATAAATTGTATTCATGTAGGAATAAATTCTTACACCATTCCGTTCATTCATCCTCAATTCGAGCCCTTCAGCGTCACCAACATAAATATTTACTACCCTTTCCGTCGAACATCGGTTTTGTCGGCATCATGCTTCCGTCAGCGCTTGTTAAACCCTTATGGTAGTTTAGTTGTACATTATTTTGTCCACCCAGGATCCGCGCAGCAACGAGATTTTCTTTTTCGTTTTCTTTTTTACTCTGGTTAGCTTCATATTGAATCTGTTTGAATAGGAAACAATAACGAAAAAATTAAAAAGTTAGATTATCAGCAGAATTTAATCTCCCATATATTTGGAATCAAAGAATCAGTTTCCTCCTAATCACAATTTTAACTATCCACATATTAATGAAATATATTTGTAAATTTCTTCAATGCAGCTTTTCCAAGAACAGCTATTTTACACCGAATTTAATAAACCAGTCCTAGTAATTAATACAAATTCGCAGATAGATATCAATAATATTCTGCTACTGCATTGTTGCTGTTTTATTAACAAGTTTCGAACAGAATTCAGTTCGCAAATGTAAATTTTAACGACTATCAGATGGTATACCCTTCGTATTTTGAGTGGAAATAGGTATCAGCATAATTACCGAAGAATACCTAATGACCAGCTGTCCAGAACGCAATACCTCTGATGGTGTGTGCTTTGATTTGTCGAACTCAATGCAACCAGTAGAATTGCGAAAATAGGCCAAAGTATACACATATAAATTTGAGAGAAAGGGGATTGCTATTTTCCCGTATATTGTTTACAATTTTGAAATAAAAATTTAACCAATACCTTCATTTTGCATAATCGGTTCTTCACTTCGATTCCGCGAAACTCTTCGTTCGTGTTAATCGCATACCAAACGTATCTGCATAAAATTTTACATGTAAGAATAGAATTCGCGCTATTTGAAAAAATTCCAATATATATAGCCAACAAATTTTAGCAGGTAAAAATAAACTTTATAAAAATTGAGAACATTCTTAGAGCGGGTGTCAATAGTTTTTATTTTATTTTTTGTCAAGAGTGGGCACGGTTTTTGGACCAGGCCCGATATTTTAGTCGCCAAAAGTTTTGCACTCCTAGTCTGGCGGGCCACGCAAGTGGGTCATAAAAAGTTATATCGTCTTGTTCGAGAAAAAACTTGCAATTAAAAATTTTCTAGACAAATATACGATATATGACCTTGACATTGGTAATCGCATGTAAGTCTTCTTGGCAATGGATAAGTTGTGGTCTTCGATGCCTGTCCGGAACAAATGTTGTTGTTGCGCATACAAAACGTATATACCTGCAATAAAATATAACACATAAAAATATATCATCGATGCCCATCAGTTTTTAAAATAGTACTATTGAACAGATAGTGTAAAATGTAGATTATGTTGCGATTACTGATATGCAATTTGCGCAATTTAAAATAACTTTGAGCAAAATTCCAATATATATTGTCCACCAAATCTTAATAAAAGTGTAAATGAATTTTACATAAAATTTAAGAACAATATTTTCATCGGCCCAAGAACAAATATTTTACTATAGAGACTGCGGCGTGTCACTGCCAATAGTTTTATATATATATATATATATATATACAGGTTCCCAAATAAGCAGGCTCATTGCAGGCTCTTTTAAGTCTTGTTTGGGGAAAAAATTGAGTTTAAATTTTTTTTAGATTGATAATCACCTTTTTACTGGTAATCGCATACCAGTCTTCTTGGCGATGAATAAGTTGTAGTCTTCAGCGTCTGTTCGGGACAAATGTTGTTGTTGCAAAGTCTGTGGCGACAAAAGGCCTTCACCAACCGGTTTAATCGCTGCCAACTTTATTTCCAAAGATCTGGCCTCTTCTTTTGTGAATTATAAAGGATTTCCGTGTTTTGACTTGGATGATATTATATATACTGATAACGAACAGCAAGTTTTTCGAAGAATTCAGAGTTCAATCTCTATACATAAAAATCCAAACAAAGGACATGAGACAGATCTCAAGTGGGTCTGTGCACCATATAAGAGTATTTGTGTTCCAGGTAACATCTTCCGAACAAATTCATATGTTGATATTGCACTGCCACATCCTTTTTGATAGACACTAGCCAGAACTATTAATCATTTGAGATTCGTCTTTGATAATGATTTGAGTTAATAGTCATTGATTGCTTTTCTTTCAATGATGGAGAAAAATTTGTAAATTATGAAGTTTATAAAGGCTTGAAATCATTCTTGCCAAAATTTCAAACGCGCCATGACTTTTTGAATTTTGCATTTGAGAAAATGTGTCGACTTCATTGGACTATTGAAACCATGTGTGATATATGTTTTGCGAACGATGTTATTTCCAGATTCGAATCATCACCGAACGAATATTTGTACCAGTCAGTTCCAATCATCTCGATTTCAAGTAATGAAGTTGGTATTGAACGATTTTCTTCAATTGCCCAAAACTATTGTTCTTTGTGTTAGTAAATGCGAACAGGGAGTTTCACATTCCGTAGTAAGACTAATTTCGATTTCAAAACGTATATGCCTCTTCCAACGTCCGTAGAGTTTCGTCATTCAGCTAACCACTGTTATTAAAATCCTCATTTCTGTTATAAGCAATGAAACTATTGCAAACTATATTTCACAATGGGAACCTACTCTATAAATACTTCAATCGCTGCTGCGCTTATAAATATATCCTTCAGCCTCTGCGCTTGATCCGATGCTGGAATAGACTCGCTAATTGCAAACTTAATCCTAATGTTTCTGCATTTTCTGACCAAAAAGATGTATCAAAACATTCAGACTTGAATGGTCATAAAAACTATCAATGAAAACAACAATTCTTGAAAATATCTCAAAACTTTCCGTCTTAGTTCACAAAAATAGTTTGTATGATTTCGATCTGCGGGCATGTCCAAAAGAGGTTTTCGTTCATAAAATGGTCACATACAGCTTCGCAGTCATGCTTCGCAAAACGTCCTCTAAATTTGCCGAGTTTGTCCTCATCTCGCTGGGGCTTTCTAGAATATACTGAGTAGTATTACTGTACATATTTCCTGCACTAATAACTTACGTCACTAATTATAGATTCAACTATTTCAATTGGCTTCTTGCTTGCAAATCTTATTGAAGCTCTCGAATGTCAAATAATTACGTTTTCAAAGCTTCCACGACTTCTAATTTAAAAATTTATAATAAAATCTCAATATGACTTTCTACATTTAAAAACTTTTAGTTTCACTTTGTCCGATTAGCCTCATTAAAGCTTTATCTGATTACATATCTTACTAGAACTACATCCGGCTTTGGTAGCATCGTAAACTTTCAGTGGGTGCTCTCAACCCCCTGCTCAATTTTCATCGAGTGATGAGATTTGGGCAAATCAGTTAGTGTCAGGGGACCCGTAATTAATTTTTTAGTCGCAAATTTAAATAACCATTTTAAAGCATTAGAAGCTTTTACCAATTAAAGTCTGTTATCTCAGTTTTAGTGCAAATCCGAAACACTCATTTCAATAAATTTGAAACATTATTGGGAACTGTGTTAAGCAGGAATGTTTGATGGCGCAGCTTATTTGTAGCACCAAATTGAATCTTTCATTCCATATTATTTCAATTTTTTTCTTACGCCAGTTATTGTTTGACTCCCAATTTATCAGTGAGTGTGGTTCAGGTGACCGCTGGTCGGGTATGGCTTCCTCAATCATCAAGTTTATGCATTTGAAACCAAGTCCGTATATATATCCGAAACAAATAACTGGCTTAGTAATTCTATTCTCGATATGAAATGGTAACCGAACGAGAGGCCGTGGTTTGTTATGGCTTGCTTCGCCACCAATTCCTTGCATCTGAAACCAAGTCCATACATCCGAAACAAATACCTGGCTTAGTAATTCCATACTCTAGATGAAATGGTAACTGGACGAGAGGCCGTGGTTCGCCATGTGATTAAGTCGTCACATTGGCGTACCTCTTACCCCAAGATGAATATATCAATCCTAATAAAAATTCGAAACAGTCCTTTATCCTTATGCAAGGTTTTGGAAGACAGATAATGTCAGATTTTCAAGCCAACTACATTTTGCTGGTCCGATTTTGGAAGCCAGATAATGTCAAATTTTCAAGCCAACTACATTTTGCTGGTTCGATTTTGGAAGCCAGACAATGTCAAATTTTCAAGCCAACTACATTTTGCTGGTCCGATTTTGGAAGACAGATAATGTCAAATTTTCAAGCCAACTACATTTTGCTGGTCCGATTTTGGAAGCCAGATAATGTCAAATTTTCAAGTCAACTACATTTTGCTGGTCCGATTTTGGAAGCCAGATAATGTCAAATTTTCAAGCCAACTACATTTTGCTGGTCCGATTTTGGAAGCCAGATAATGTCAAACTTTCAAGCCAACTACATTTTGCTGGTCCGATTTTGGAAGACGGACAATGTCAAATTTTGAAGTCAGCTACATTTTGCTGGTCTGATTTATATAACTTATGTCAGCTCGTACTATTCAGATCACAATTTCGTAATTTTCCAACGGTTGAATTTGATTTGTTTTTTTCTTATTCTGTTAGACAAATTTGTTACTTAACTCCCCATTTCAAAACAATCTGAGGTATAGTCTTTTCACATTTGCGGAAACTTGTTAATTCAGGCAAATGTCAATTTTGGCCAAATTTAGCTGTTTCATATTATTGGAAAAAAAAGAATTTCAAGTTTCCAATTTAGATGGATCAGCCGAATTAAGTTATACATTGGCAAATATTATTGAAACTAACTAATGCTCATCTTCTTTGGATGATATCTGAAAATATGAAAACAGTGTTAGTTGACGAAGTGATAGTTTATATAGAAGCAAATTTTGGAATAAATGATCAATAAAATAACACACAAAATAGCAAATATGTGAGAAATAAAAAGTGCCGTACAATTGCTTGCACGGCCCTTCACATAGATAGATGCCTTGCATTTAACTGCACGGCAATATGGATTTTGCTTCAAACACAATAACCATGAAAACAAAATTAATGTCTTGCATTTGACTGCACGACAATACGGTTTTTGTCTCAAACACAATAACCGTCAAAAACAAAAAGAATGTCTTGCATTTGATTGCACGACAGTAGGGGGCATATAAACATGATATAGAACTAAGTCTATACATGATAAATGTCTTGCATTTTACCGCACGACATCACCGTGTATGTGAACACGATAGAAAACTAAGTCGAATATGATAAATGTCTTGCATACTATTGCACGACATCACATTATGTGAGCATGGCTTTGCCGCTAAGACAATTAACCATGAAAAAATAAACTACGCACAAGTAAAATATGGCCTAGAAGTAGATTAGAAGAGAAAGAGTTTCAATCCCCAGACAAGATGTTTGGGAACCGTTCCATGATTCACATTCTCCTGACGCGTACCTATCACCGTGAAAAAGTAAATTATCAAACCCAGCTTGAAGTCACAAGAGAGGACAACAAGTGAGAGTGATAATAACTCCTCACCCTTATACCTATCTATCCCTAACTAAGTACTAACTATTCGGCCGTCCCAACCACCCCTCTCAACATCCCAGCGACAAGCAATTTTTAACCTTAGTTTAACAAAGTCTATTCAGCGCCAACCTGGTCTATTATTGCAATGATCGAAACGTTCCCTACATATTCTAACCTGCCTAAGGTCAGCTTTTATTAACCAAAACTGTATTTATCATGTGCGCGGGCGATTTCACTCTGCTACGTTGAGTGAATCCTAGCTATATGGTGCAAGCACCAGGGGTTTAGGCTGTCTAGATCGGAACGCGGACGTTAGCTCCCCCTGCAATCATAAACACGAACCCAAATATTGCAATTCATGAGGCTGTTTATGACTACCGTACTAAACCCTTGATATATCCTGAAAGCTGACCGGCCTAACAAACCCTAAGTTGCCCGAGAAACTAAGGCAACATCTACGAGGTATAGCCGACGACTTTGCTTTGGCGCACAGTTGATCTAATCGTAACAATAAGTTCAAATTCAAATTTCAGTTTTACATCTTCTTTTGTCATGGATCATGGGTCTAGTTGCATAATAGTACAATGCGCCACAATGCTAAAGTCATCAACTACTACTTGCCCTAGTCTAACTACCTTACCAGAAGCTTTGTGCTACTGGGCTTGGTAATATTGAATCTGGGTTCAACGTACAGAAAAACCCGTTCAATATTAATCCAAGACTTCACCTCTTTGAGCGCAATAGTGGCCAATGGTTTTCAAATAAATCTGAATATTGAATAAACCAAACATATCATTCAGAAAACAATTTCTGTAGTCAAGTTTAGAATTTATGGCCGTTTATTGCACCTAAGAGGAATTGTGGTATTTTCGATGTCTTTCGTCTGCTTCGTCCCACAATTTGCGGGCACCCTGTACTATGGCCTAACATGCAAGGGGAAAAGCCCAAGTCTCATCCAAATATGTGCTCCATAAGACCGATTTAATTTAGGAGACTTTGAAGCTTAATCCCCGGAATTATGAATAATCCCTATCGCCCTATCTAACTAAACAATACATAATTCAGTGCAGTGCTAAGCCTAACCGAAACCCTTCTTTATTTAATTCGGCCGGTCAAATTTTTAGGAGCAATTTTTTTTTAATTCTGAAGATATCACATCGCTAATTACAATAATAGAAAGGTTTCGGCATTAATAAAAGAAAAACATGGTTAGTTTGCCCTATTTCATATATATATTATTATTGATGAATCATAAAATAATCGTCCACAAATTATTACTGTGTGGATCGATACACCAGAATGATGCTAAATGAAAGTTCAATCAGAAATTTATACTCATTTATACAAGTATTATGTACACGCCCATAAAGAGCAGATAATCATCACATAAAAAATTTGATATTTTAAGTGTTCCATTATAAACAGTCCTAATAACAGACAATTAAACCCCTAGTCTAGATTCGTCTGTCGAAACCTATCTAATCATTCCTGGCTGACTAACTAATAAATCGACAGACGAGAAGTATTTTCAAGTACCACACAAGTGAAATATCCATCTAGCGAAGCGTAGAGTCCTATCTTCCATCTTCGCGCCCTTTGCACTTCGCCCGATGGCTCTGATTCTACACAAGAAGTGTTCGTATAACGAACATAAACGACAAGCGAACCGATACGTTCAGTGGACCTGGGTTAAAAAACAAGAGAACACTAAGTATGATATTCTGATATGTTATTGCAATTTAACTTTTTTCAGGGTAGAATTCAAGCTAATCCGACAACTGCTCTATATATGAAACGTTGTGTCCGGCCTAGCAAGGCTCAAAAAATAACGAATAAGGCCAATTATGAAATTTAGTGACTCATTATTTCTTATTAATTGGGTGTTTCTTAAATCCGTGTTCTGGGAAATAGTCTAGATTCTAGAATCACCAAATTGAAAAAAAATATTATCTCCGCACTTTAAAAACTTTTTTACTGCATTGAATGAATGATTATTTAATCGCAGTTGGATATTTATTGTTGTAATCTCACCTTAGTTGATTGATGTCCTAGCTGGTCTTCTTAAACACTCGAACATCAGGAAATTTTCTTTACCTGTTAATGACAATAAAACAATCACGTTGTGATTTCTATTTTGAATACATTGCATTTAAAATAAATTTATTTAATTGACTTTGGTAGACTTTGATAATAATAGATTTTTGGCCAAATAATAACAGCTTAAGCAGACAGTGAGAAAAGTTCACCAGAACACGATTTTTAACAAGGATTCGCAACAAAGCGAATTTTCGCAAAAATATACATCTATAGTTTCAACAATTACCTTTTTGAAGTTGATGATATATTTGAGATCTTCCGAGCATGCGTTAGCCCATGATGACGTCAGCTTGCATGAAAGAAGTTGAAATTCAGTTCTCACACCCGCCGCGAAAAATTGAATCTTTGTCGGTTTCTGTTAAACGTTTAAGAAATTCTTTATAACAGTTATCATTATTCATGAAGTACTACTTTGCTTATGGTGAAGTAGCAGAAGCCAAATTGAACTTATTTCGGATTCGAACGTGGGATAAAATTGAGAAAATAACTTTGGCAATACAATTTTGGTAATATATATTTGTAATATTTTCTTATTTCATCAGAGGACAGTGAAACCAATAATATGATATCTATATCACAATCCGAACTGCACTGCTAGCTAGTGCATTTCAAATGTAGATTTTAAAGTACATGGACTTGGTGTAAAGCTATCTCCGACTTATATCCACCCAAACTAGCTTATACGAACGCGGCGTTATAAGCAAAGCTTTAGAAAAGAGTAACTATAGCACCTGCGGAATTCCACCATTTGAGTTCAGGCCGAGTGTGATTTGGCTTGTATTCATAACGCGTAGCACGATGTGCATGTCGTAGTATAACATAAAATAAACCTATGAACAATATAAAGTACTTACATGAAAGTTCTTTGACCAATGCGAACAAGACGAATGCATTACTGCATTATCTTTCAGATTGTCAACCTCTTCAAATATCGACGAGTTTGCAACATGCAATGTTTATATATATATATATCGTATATTAAACTGAAACAATAAATTAAGTTGATATTTATCGCACTTGAACAATTGAAACATAAGATAAACCCCAATAAACGGATGCTAGATCATAATCTTTTCCCCTCAAATAAGACTTTAAGAAGTAGAAAAATGGGATTTTCACCTACATTGTTAGATAAATAACGCGTCCTTATAAAACCCAGCTATGAAGGCTTTGTCGTAGAGGCATTTATCACTTTGAAGACGGTTCTTCCTCCACAACTTTTTTTGAATAATCTATTATATTGAATTATATGTATACGACTGCCCTGAAATCGCCATGTAAACAAAACACAATCGTAGCTTCTGGCGACCTGACAACACACGTGAGGCAAACTGACTGACGCAACTCCTGTCGAGTCGGCGTTGATTACCCTGGTAATTATTACTCAAAGCAATTTCTAGAATGTTCGGTCCTATCAACCAACGCAAAATTTGTCTCAGAAGCAGAAAAGCAACAAATATGTTGTTGAGTATGAGTAAAATCCTTACAAAGAAAATTACGTGTAATATCTGTTTTTTAATTGTTCTGGTGCTTTATCATTTATTATCATTTCATGCTCCCGAATTATCTTCAACTTTCCTTTTTTGTGGATTAAGTCCTCGAAAATGTCTGCTGCATAATATTATACATTGAATTCGATGTGTAATAATGATGCCATAATTTATTGTTTCTGACACACTTTTGGGAACTTTGTGATTCGTTTCGCCTTCGAAACACTAATATTTTTGAAGTGCTCAGCACAAATATGGTAACACTCACGGGTCCACGATGTGAAAAATGTGCCGTGTGAAAATATATATATATGCTAGATTCTTTGTTTTCATTATTTTAATAAAAATGAGTAATAACAACGTGCATGTTGATCTAATGTATGGGTGTATTATTCCAAAATTTTTCCAATTGAAGTTTATGTGCTAGCGTGCTAAACAAGTTTAAATCATTGTTGAATGCGTAGTCCGTCGCTGTTTTAGCTGAATATTAAAAATGTTGGCAAATGTTACTTGTAAACATACACAGAATGATAAATAGAAAGTATTTTAAACTGCGATTCATTCTACGGCAGCGATGATGGCTTGCCCGATCTCATAGTAGTAATTGTATCAATTTCACTATCACTATGGAAGACAAATTAACTTGCCTATAAATTTCGATTTTACCAAAATGACGGAAATTTAGATGAACAATATATGTGCCATATAGGTGACGTCAAAATACTAGGTTATCGAGTGTTTAGAACAGCGCCGACACACTTAATAAATGTATTCACATACTACACCAATAGAATGTTATTATAATCTGCCTTTTCTTAATCATACGTGGATAACCGGACAACGATAAATTGCAGTGGAAGTACGACGCAGAAATGACGAGCCTTTTTGTCGGCATTAACAAAAATTAGGATTCATAACGATTACTTTTTCCTATTTCTTTTAAACGCAATATGAAGCTGCTTGGACATGGTTTAATATTTTTTGCAAGTTTGTTGTTTATTTCGAAATACCGGGTTTGCACAGCAGCAACTGCAAGAATGTTGGATTTCGTGGACGTATATGAATTGCCGAAAACAGGTACTTATCAATATTGAAGGAAGTGCACGTATATTATTTAATTGAATAATTTTTGCTTGTTGATGCTGGTGGTTTAATATTTTTTAACGTCAGCATAAGTGTCAGTTTAGCCTACTCTAGGAAGAAGAGATATACAGGGTGACCCAAAAACAGAATATATAAATTTATCAAATACCTCTACTAAAATGAAGAAAGTTTATTTAACACTTGTGTTTGTGTATGATGATAACTAAAAATTCCAATATATATGTGTAATTTACTTATCATATTAGTCGCCTATATGACACAGAGAAAAATTTATGCAAAGTCAAACGAGAAAATTTATGATCTACAATACAGAACTTGGGTAACTCTACTTCGTCTGAGGGACGAATACCAATACTATTTTTAAAATGACATTTTAATTGAATACATGAATTATTCATAAATCCAAAAACATTCCAACCGAGCTCATTTCACCCAGTCCCCAACGAACGTATTGGAAGTGCGTGCAAGAAATGACTATTTAGTCAATCATGAAAATGGTTGAAATGGCCATTACTATTTCACATTTAAAGTACACGGGGGCGTTCAGATACCTTCTCTTGCTTACAGTAGGTTTCTCTTCGTTCGTGACATGTCTTGGACATGATAAATATAAATTGGAAAAGAGGTAGTCGACATTACGCTATCAGGTTATTGAAATTTGGTATTTCTCCGATATATATAAATGTGATAACTAGTGGGGATCTGGGACAAAATTAGAAACCTCATATCTTGCACCATGTACATGTGCTTGGGGTATATGCAAAGACGAAATAGAAGTGATAGCTTCGTATGGGATGATTTAGCGAATAAATTTCATTTATGGTGTATTTATTTACAAATGCAATTCTCAATTTATTTTTATAATGTTCTCATTGTTTGTCAGGATATGAAGACGAACTTAGCATCGCTACAGCACTATTTGCAGACGGGACGGCAACCCTGGTAACATTTGAAGGCGTCGATTCGATCACCGCAGGTAAATATCGTTTTTTGACAAGTATGACCCTATGCTTGTTAGATTTGAAGGATTATATTTCGGAATCGTTTGGTTCATAGATGAAATTTCAGAAAACGGTTTTGACTTCAGTAATACAAAATTAAATACTTCAAGAAATGACAAAACGGCAATGAAAAAATTGAGGACAAGGACTATTCTTAGTTTTCGACGAGTGTAAAATATAAATGTAACATTTTATTATTTCCTCTGCAGATGAAGAAGAAATGTTACAGATCGAGATGGCTTTCAGCGCTTATAATACCAACTTACAAATATCATTTTGTACAATGTATCCATGTTTATATGGTGGCAAGTGTACCTTGACTCCAATATCTGAGTATTTTTATGACGACGAAAAGACTTCAGTTTTACGAGATACATTTGCCTTGTTTGGATATAGTTCAAGCGCTGACGAATCACAAGGCGTATGGGCGATTGATTCTTGGGAATTTTCCTCAAGTTACCAAGCTTTTACTTCATACGCCAGTTCTGAAAACGATGGGACGTTGTTTGATCCAGCTGATCAATCATTGACGAAGATTCATAGAGCAGCACGTTTACAATTCAATAACATGATGCTATCACAAAGTAACGAAGATTTAAATAATGCAATTACAGCACCCGTGGTGGACTTGAAAACAATTGCTTTGAGGCACACAAAATGTACCTGCTTTCATGGTTTCACGGGTCCACGATGTGAAAAATGTGCCGTGTAAAAATTCTATATGCTATATTATTTGTTTTCCTAATTTTCTTAAATAACGATATAACAACGTACAAGTTGATATAACAAATGAGTTATGTACTATTTCCAATATTATTATTGCTAGCACAAGTCTTATAAATAACGAGCAAATATTTTCACGAAGCTACGTGTTAGCGTGATAAAAAAGTTTACAGGTTTGTCGAAAACGTAATTTCTCGTTGTTATATCCGAATGTCAAAAAAGATTAATGTGTGTTTTTTGGAAACATATAAAGAATGATGAATAAAAAGTATTTTGAACTGCGATTTATTACAGTAGCGATTATGGCTTGCGCTCCCAGGCCAGTAATTGTATCATTTTCGTTATAACTATGAGAGATAAAGCATTATGAATATAAATTTAGTATTATACCAAAATGATGGAAATTTAGATGAATAATCAATAATAAGCACAGCAAAAGATGGTTTTGAGCTTGAGGTATATCGATACCTTGGACACTTAGAAGTATTGAGATTTTGGGCTCGAAAGCACTATAATTGCTTTATTCAACCTGGTTTACAAATTCATATCCCCCACCCTGTATTCCAAACCGCATCTTGAAAGAAGTGACGTCAAAATATGAAATATAAAAATTTGAAATATGTGACGTCAAAATACTAGGTTACATAGTTTTTAGAATAGCGTGGACACTTATAATTTATGTATCCTCATTTTACAATAGAATATATATCTTATCTACCTTTTGGTAGCCGTACGTTTTGAATAAAAAAAAGTCCACGCCCTGCATAACCGGATAACGGTAAATTACAGTGAATGTACGACACAGAAATGACGAGCCTGCTGTTTGTCAGCATTAACAAAAATTATTATCTATAAACCTTACTTTTTCCTATCGCTTTCAAACGCAATATGAAGCTGCCTGAAGATAGTTTATCATTTTTCGTAAGTTTGTCGTTTATTTCGAAATACGAGGTTCGTACAGCAGCAGCAATCGCGGGTTCATATGACTTCCAAAAAACAGGTAAGAATAATTGCGACTACCTGAAAATAGCTTCCATAAAATCAGGTCA